GATGATAAATTGAAGCTTCTCCTAGAGGCAGGAGGTTATATCTCTAGGGCGCCGTCCTCCTCCCACCCCCTCTCTTCACTTATTAGCTATATAAATTAAGAGACCCACTAACCAAGCTTCAATTTATCATCACTGCAGTTAGGATTTTGTATTCTTTTTAAAAAAGTTGCATTCTTGAGAAATATAGTGAGAAAGAAATAAAATAAGTTTAGGCACACAGTGAGCACCCAGGACAATGACTCCCTTTTCCCTTCCTGCACTGATCACCCATGTAACCATGAAAGAGAGTCCCCATAAGTGACTCATAGTACCCAGCACTGTTGGTGAATCTGGCACACTGTGATGGGATTTCTTCTCCCATGGTCACTGTCTGCTGTCATTCTATACCTCTGTCTTGCAGGAGGAGCAGAAAGTTGAATGTCAGTTTGTTTAGAATCTGCTCTACCTTGCTCACTCTTTAGTCTAGGAACATCAAGCCTCTTTTGTGGCAGTCACCTTCTTCTCTAGACTCACCGACAGCTGTCCAGCCATACATCCCCACCCCGCAGCCAGGCTCCATGATCCTGATTCTTGTAGGCGGTGAAGTGTCGGATAATGGCTGGTTCCCGGGGTTTCAGCGGGTCTGCATCCTGGTGAGGGCTGTACCTGGAGCATGGGAGGATACAGGAAGTATTCTTTCTGAGTTCTGTAAGCTACTTTCCACTTACAGGTCCCAGATATTTCTGACTCAACAGATATTCATTGGCTATGTCATGAACAACTCTAAGCTTCTCCTAGAGGCAGGAGGTTATATCTCTAGGGCCCAGCTCCCTGCAGGAGACAGATAAGGGGTCCCATTGTTGCTAATGACCTTAAAGTTTTGACAACACTGTTTTTGTTTGTTTTCTTTGAGATAGGTTCTCATTATGTAGCCTTGAATGGCCTAGAACTCATCGTGCAGACCATGCTGACCTTGAACTTGCAGAGATCTTCCTGTTTCTGCCTCTCAGAAACAGGAGTTAAAGGTATGTATCACCACATTCAGCCTTGAGATCAATCTTTTAAAAGCAGCCTTTGGTTTTCGGCTAAGCTCTGGCTTTGACTTACCAACCTGGTTATCAAATCCCTTACCATTAAAGTGGCAGTAGATGCTTCCTGTCTGATCATCTTTGTATCCCTGCCCATCTTGTCACAGCTCTGGCCATTCCCATTCCTCTGTTTTATGACCCTGGCTCTGTGGAGGGATCTGGAAATTGCTAGGAATTTCATTCTCCCTTTAGCTACTGGAGCCTGGACTCTAACTCAGACTTAGTTTAGACTTCTAGCATAGTACCATATCTCAACAACTGGCTCAGCACCAGCTAGTGAGCACTCATTAGGTAAGGAAATGCAGGACCTGAAGCAGAAGAAAAGAAAGAGAGCCCCAAGGGACAAGATTTCCTAGGGGTTATTACCTGGCAGAGATGATGGAAAGGAAGGGCCGCTTGTCCTTTGCTGAAGCCTCAGTTGTCTTGACTCCATTGTCTATGATCATGCCAGCCTAGGGACAAAGTACACATTAGCTACGACCACTGCCCACAGCCGTCTTCTCACACTGGCCTAGGCACATGCTTTTGAATATGTCCACAAACTCAGCGTAGTTCTTAGACTATGTTCATGGATGTAGGGTCTACAGTGAGAGATGGAGAAAGCCAGTGTTATTCTGCATTTCTCTGACCAGATCTGAGAGGAGCAGACGTGCGTGTGTGTGTGTGTGTGTGTGTGCACGTTTGTGTGGTGAGTGTGTGTCGTGGTGGGTGGGGGTATAGATGAATAAACTAGGGTTTTAAAAAAGATTTTATGTATTTATTTTATGTATGAGTGCTCTATCTGCATGTGCACCTGCAGGCCAGAAGAGGGCATCAGATCCCATTACAGATGGTTGTGAGCCACCATGTAGTTGCTGGGAATTGAACTCAGGACCTCTATAAGAACAGCCAGTTCTCTTAACCTCTGAGCCATCTCTCCGGCTTCCATAAACTAGGGTTTAAGAGTGTCTAACCTGGGGCCATATAGCCAATTCCATATACAGAACTCATACTACTTTATGGAGTCCCTATCCCAGACTCCCAAACAAGGTCTACCAGCATGCACTCAAAAATGGATCACAGACTTTCAAATGAAGTACTGAATTTGTCTCTCTTTCCCATTGTGTGAGAGTCAGTGACTTCCTACAGCCTCTTCCAGATCCTGCTTGACTTGAGGAGAAAGGCTAACTCTTTTTTAGAGATTTTTTTTTTTTTTGAGACAGGGCTTTATGTAGCCTAAGCTGGCCTCAAACTTGTTATGTAGCCAAGGATGACTTTGAATTTCTCATTCCCTTGCTTCAGCCTCTAGAGTGCTGGGATTACAGGCATGTGGGACCATGTCTAGTCTGTACACAAACCCAGGGCTTCATGTACATCCGGCAAACACTCTTACAAACTGAGGTATATCCCCAGCTCTGAGTCTGGCTTTCTTCTTTGGTGCCAAAGCTGTCTACTTGCAGACACAAGGTGAATTGGAATAAAGGTGGAAGTCTTGGAAGCCACCATCCAGTCCCTTTCACTCCCATATCCCCCTGGCCTCTTGGGAAGCTCATACCAGCTGTGCCTCCAAGTTCCTGTTTGTTCTCCAGCTGGCTTTAACTTCACAACAGTGATGACGTGACCTTCTGCTCTTGGCTCTGTTCTCACACACTGATGTTGGCAAGTCCCCTCACCTCTTTGGCTAGTCATATCATTATCTGTAAAGTTGGCTGCTGATACCTACTTCACAGAGTCACTGTGGTGACTGAACAAGATGCCTGAGAAATGACTACATGACTCCATGAGGTCTATGTGGTGTTAGTCTTCCTGGATAGAAGCATCCAGGATGCAGACCCTATACTCTCTGCTCAGACTGTCAAGCTGGCCCAGCTGTAGATTCTTTAATTTCTCCCTGCCTATCTCAGAGGATAAGAACCCCTTCTACACTCAAGGGCTAAATTCATCCTACACACATCTATGTCCTTGACTCTGACTTGCCTTCCTATTAGTGTGAGAGTCAATGACTTCCTGATGTTGCTTTTTGACTGCATTACTCCCTGTCCCAGCCCCCTTTTCTTTCCAGTCCTGTGGACCCTCTCTTTGAAGTAGGATACCTTGAAGGTCCAGAAAATGGTGGGTCCCAACAAGAGGTCTATGTGTTTTCTGTCCTTCTCTGACAGTGATAAGGTCTAAGCACCTGCCTCTGCATGGGCAGCACAACATCCAGCCACCAACTCCCCTCCACATTTCTGCCACTGCCTCTGGAATTGTCACCCTGCTCAGGCTCTGAGCCATGACTAAGGAGGTGCCTCCTCCCCTCCTCATGGCTCTTTCCAGATCACTGGCTTTTCTCCTCTTACCCCCAGGGTTCAGCACGGATCTGCCCTGATCATATGTTCCTTCTCTTTGGGTCTTCTCCCAGGTTCAACATTTTTGAAACAGGTTTGGTTCGTGTATGTGTATGAGGAGACCAGAGGTGGATGACAAGGGACTTCTATTGCTTTTCTATTGCTGTTGTTATGTTTATAGATGGTCCTTCATTGAACCTGGAGTTTACTGGCTAAATGGCTGGCCTGAGGCTTTGGGATTTGCCTGTCTCTGTTTTCCCATCAACAGGGTTACAGACACACACACTTCTGCTTTTGTGCTTGTTCAGCAAGAACCTTAAATATGAGCTATCTCACTAACTCTCTGAAATATCTTTTTTTGACTCTGGATGCCACCCATTCCTTTCTGGCAGTCCCCTGAGTGTGCTATTGAGAATTGAACCAGATACCAGTTTGTTTGTTCACCATCCCTATGTCCTAGAGACACAGGAGTTTATCTTCGTCTCAGCCTTATTCTAAGCTCTCTTGGCATGTCCAATGGCTTCAGTCTTAACTATTGCTCCTATGGGAAGGTTCTTGATATACTGAGATCCCAGCCTTCTTAATCCTTTCCCTTTTGCTCTAGACCCTAGCTTGGAGCAGGGCTTGCGCTGGTACTCAGGAAAGGAGGGTGATAAATGAAGATGGTCAAGAAGTTTCTCACTTCCCACCTACTGACTTAATACAGCACAGATGGAGCCACCCACTCCCCAGAAAGAAAGGAGAAAGCTCTGGATGCCAATGCTACTCAGAACGACGTCCAGACTTCCCGTAGTTCACTGCCACACATCATTTCATAGATAATATCACTGATGCCCACAACAGGATCACAACGTCAAATGTGACGTCCAATCCAGCATCTTCTGGGAGTGGAAGCTGGAGTGAAGGCACACCTCGCTCCTTTGGATGTACGGATGCTGTGATGGTGCAGGGCCCCACAGGAGACTTGTGATGAGTGATCTGCAGGCTTTGGAAGGCTTCTCTGGACCCACAGTAAGAACGCAGCTCTTCCAGGCTCTAATCACTGCAGCTTGGGGCAGGGGAATGAATAGGCTGGCCATAGTAACAAAGCACAGAAAGACTTACCCGGTAGTTAGAATGTGCTCGGTTGTTGTAGAATTTCCCCAGTGGAATGTGCTCAGAATAACCTGGGGAGTACATTCCCACGGAGGGGCCTGTGGGCACATGGTGAAAAATGAACCAAAATCCAGTTTCCTGTTGGGACAGGAGAGAGAGAGACATAGAAATTAATGGCAGTGAGTCCCTGATTGAGTGGCCCAGGCCAGGATAGTGAATACAGTACTGTGGCCAGAACAAATCACCACCATACACATCTGAATGGTCCAGTATTTGGACACCATACACCACCAAACACATCCATGTGATCCAGTGCTTGGATAAAGGGAAAATCTTGAGGCTACTGTAATTTGTGGGCTCCACCTTGACAGCTCACACTCTTCACATTGGCCTTGTTCTCTGTCTGCACTGTCTGAGTTAGTGGGTCACTGTAGAGGTTAGACTGCTGATGGATAGAATTCCTAAAGCAAATGTTAGCAGCTTTCCTTAGAGATCTGGAAGCTGAGGCCCAGAAAGAATTATAAACAGGGTCAGGGTCAAGGCCTCAGGCAAAACCAGCAGCAGGGGAGAACTGGGTTAGATCAAGGCTGTTGGAGAAAAACATGATAGGCTTGTTGCCTATCTGCCACCACCCAGCTCTATGGGGCTTTGGACACGCTATGTCTCCTGTCTTAGCTTCCACCCTAGCCCAGAGTGTACCCTTTATGTTAGAATCACTTGGTGTTAGCTTACAGCACTGATGTGTCAGGCACCATCCTAAGGCAACATGACTCATTTTCTAATGAATTATTGTACATAAATTGCTTAGTACTCTGCAGTGGAATGTCCCCACAGGGTCGTGTGTTTGAGCACTTGGTCTACAGCAAGTGACTCTGCTTTTGGAGGATTTGAAACCTTTTGGAGAGGAATAAAAAAATGGAGGTTGTGGGTCATTGGAGGTGGGGCTTGAGGATTATAGCCTGGCTCCACTTCCTGTCTTCTCTGTTTTCAAAATCTCTTTTTATTTTAATGTTTTATGTTTATGAGTGTTTGGTTCTTATGTATGTCTATATACCACATGTGTGCCTAGTACCCATAGAGGTCAGATGAAAACATAGGATCTCCCAAAACTGGAGTTATAGATGGTTGTGAGCCACCATGTAGAAGCTGGGAATCAAACTCAGACCCTCTGCAAAAACAAATACTTTTAACCACGAGGCCATCTCTTCAGCCCCTCCTACTGTTTCTTGATTCGCCTAAATGTATACAAGCTCTCACTGTCACAGCCACAAGTGACTCCTGCCACCAAACCTTCCCTTCTTCTATGGACTGTATTCCCTTATGCCACAAGCCAAAATAAATGACTTATGTCACCAGGATTATGAAGCGACAGGCTGAACTGTTATTTAAAATCAAGTCACAGGACTCCCCATCTCCAGGACTCCCCATCCACACAGATGAGTGGTCTTGAGTTCTAAACATAGCATTTCCCGGGCAGCTGCTGCCAGCCCCAACTTGCTTATTTCTGCTTACCTCAGACCCGGCAGCTGCACAGTTGATGAGATTGTTGTTGGGATTTGCCATCCAGAAAGTGGACACAGCACTGCAGGGAGAGGACAGAAGTTGAACACAGTCATAACAAGGATTATCAGCAGTCTCTCTGCTACCCAGTGGTAGAGCCCTGTGAGACAGCAATATTAATGGAGGCTGTTGTCAGAGACTTAAGAGATAGTTGGCATATCTGTTTGTGACTTCTCTTTCACACCAGAAGATGTGTCTCTGTCTATAACTGTCTCTCTGTCTCTGTGTCTCTCCTCTGTGACTCTGTCTTTCCTCTTTGTATTTCTCTGTCTTTCTGTCTCCATGTCTTCATTTCCCTCCATTTCTCCTTTTGTTTCTCTGCTTTGCAGCTTGTGTCTCTCAGACGGTTTCTGTTTCTCCTATGTCTGTTTCAGTCTCTCTATGTCTGGCTCTGTTTCCCTGTCTGTATTTTTCTATCTCTGCCTTTCTGTGTCTCTTCGTGACACTGTGTCTCTCTCTGGTTAGAAAGCGATTACTGTGATACTATGGGCACTTGCTGGGAGCAAATGCGATAACTGTTTTCTGTTCACAAGATTCCATATGGTAGAGAGCCCCAGGTGAGCCACAGTTCTTCAAACCAAACAGTACTAGTGATGCTCACAGAGGAGGGAGGACAGAGAATGGAAGAGGGAGGCAGGAGAAGGGGGAGGGAGGAGGGAGGAGGGAGGAGGAGCTACACTTTTGGTATCTCACTCTGAGAAGCAGGCAGAAGTGAGCAGTAAGCTTTTACAGGTCCTGAGGCAGGATTGAGTATTCATGCTCATCCCCTCCCTCCTACAGACCGCAGTGTAGGGAATATCCTGCAATACTATGTGAGCACTTACTTGCAGTCCTGCCTGGGCTTGGGAATGTACCCTGGGTATGAGTCCTCTGTGATCACTTTGCACATCCTGCTATCCCGATCCGACGGGAGGAGGGTCCCCGACTTAACAAGGAGGCCAAGGCAGTGGTCAAAAGTGTTGCGTTCCTCTGGCCCATCTTCAGTGAAGAAGCAGTGGCCCAAAGAATTATAGCCCACGACATCCTTGATCTGCAGGGTCAAGACAGGAGTTTTACTCAGCACCCAAGTGTGCGTGTGTCTACATAGTTGTTCAACAAGCATGAAATAGTGCTGAGCTGTACCAGGCGTGAGTAGCCTGGGGGTAGAGGCAACCTTGCCCTCAGGCAGGGTGGGCGACAAGAGGTTGGATGTGCTGGGGATGAGGCTTTGGTGGATAAGGATGGGGATGAAATATCAGAAGTGCAAAGGTGGGTTCAAGGGGAGAACCAGGCTTGGGTTCCAGAAACTATTCTACTGAGGACACAGTTTGCCAGGACGTCCTGAGCAGGGTTTCCAGGGCCAGAGTGAGGGGCAGAGCAGCTCCCTCAGGAGGTAGCACCACAGGAGGCCTGGGAGACCTTTCATCAAAGTCTTAACTAATATGTTTTGTTTTTCCAGATAGGCTTTCTCTGTGTAGCCCTGGCTGTTCTGGAACTTTTTCTGGCCTTGAACTTATAGAGATCCACTGACCTCTGCTTCCCAAAATACTGGGGTTAAAGGCATGCACCACCACCACCAGGCAACACTAATCTACTTTATGAGTCCTTCAACCCAAGTCAGTTTGTTAGCCCATGATGCCCACCAGGACACCTTCGCACCCAGGCTGAGAAACAGAGGAGGCTGGTAAATCCAGATCCCAGGTCACCTTCCTGGATAGAAAATCAGAAAGAGCATTTTGAAGCAAACTGTGAGAGCAGAGTGTGGTCTCAGCATCAGCACCAAGATGATCTTACACCAGCCTGCCTAGCTGGCTCAATCACTACCACAAGCTATGGGCTTGACCTCCAGCATCCCCAAAGCCTCAGAATCCTTAGAGAGCCCTGTCCTGAGCCTCAGTTCCCTGTTCACACCAGACTCTGACAACAGTGTCTCGCCCACAGAGGCTCTGGCTTTGGCTCATACACTCTAGAGATGCTCTCAGCTTACAAGGTACAGTGGGTAAGGGTGGGAGCCCTTTGCGTATCTTTACTGTGTTCTTCCATCCCTGCTTGTTTAGTGACTTCATCCAATGAGATCTTCCCTGCTTCCTTGTGACCTCAGATCAACCCACACCTCTTAAGGAGCTGCTAGTATACCAGGAGCTGGAAAATCTGTACACCATCCAAACGCCCTTGGCACTGACTGAAATACCAAGACCATTGCCCTTAGCCCTGGTGCCACTCACTACAAGGGACTGTCTTGCTCACTGAAGGACACTCAGTAACCCTGGTCTGTCCCTGCCAGGTAGCAATATCACACACCACCTACAAGCTGTTTCCAGACTTCCATTACTCAGTAGTCCACTGTGTAGGAGAGATGACAAAACTGTGTCTAATGGAAAAGCATTGATCTAAGGTGAGCAACCCAGGTCCTTCCAGGCTCTTACACTGCAGGTGCCTGCTCCCTAACTGCCAGGCTGTCCATCAGCTGTTAGAATCATACACACACAAAGCCGCTGCATGGCTGAACATGGGCTGGCCTCTTAGACCTTTAATTTCGCTGCAATCTTACAAAGTCCTCTTGCAAATATTGTTTTAGAAATGAGGTAGATGATGTTGGGAGAAACTAAGCAACTGTCCAAGGTCACAAAAGCTTAGTGGGCAAAGCCACGGCCGGGACATTTGGTTTCTCAGGCCTGTGTGTTCACTCTGTCAGCTTACTCCACTCTCCACTCTGCTTGCTTAAACCAGGCAAACTGTCTGCCTCTTAAAGCGAGCATCCTTCCTTTAATCTTTGGTTTTAATCTTTGATAAGGGCATGACCTTGAGGCTCATTCACTCCTTCAATGGGCATTTCAGTCAATGCCAAGGTCATCCAGTGGGATGTTCCCTTCTCTCCTAGTGAGAAATGAAAGCTTGTTATAAATAGTCCAGAAAGACAAGTCTGGGAGGGGATGCGGCTGCTCTTGCTGGCAGAGACTTCTAAGATCAGATTCAATGTCTGGCCTTACAGAGGAGGAAACCATGCCCAGGGAAGGGATGTTGGGTATCCCAGGCAATTTATACGTTAGACTCTACTGTCTTTTGCTCATGATCTTTCTGACTTGTCCTTACCCACTTGCCCTGCATGTTAGATCTCTGAAAGTGAGTGAATGAGTTAGGGACATTTTTCTAACAAACACTCAAAGAAGAGCTGGCTTCTAAGCCTTGTGAGAGGTGCTGTGAGCAGAAAGGGCTTCACCAGAAGGAAGAAAACCAGAAAAACACGTGCTGTTGAGACACGTGTTATCGTGTTATCTCAGTGGACGTCACTTGAATTGAGTGTCCAAACCCCCTTTGCAAGGACAGATCTCAGACTTGATTTCCATCAGTTCCAGAGACAGAAACCAGTCCAGTGCTTTGTTGTTGCAATGAGTCTGGCAAAGTCAAGAGAAAAGCAGAGCAAATGAAAGTCTGGCGCGGGAGATGAGTATAATTCACATCATCGCTCAGTCACAGACTCACTCTGCTACACTGAGCATCCCTTCTGTGATAGAGAGGATGCTAAAAATGTTTTCAGATTGTTTCTCCTTAGACTGTCTCATAGAATTGACTACTAGGGATAATGAGTGAATGGATAGATAGATAGATGGTAGGTAAGTAGATGATAGATAGATAGATAGATAGATAGATAGATAGATAGATAGGGATAGTGGGTAGAAAAATAGATGATACTGTTACTAGGTAGATAGACATACAAATAAATAATAAACAGATGGTGGTTGCATGAATGGATAGGGAATAGGATAGATAGGCAGATAGGTAGGTACAGATTCATACAGACAGACATAACAACTAAATGAACACTGCCCCCCAATGGGGGCTGTCCTTATATGCTAACCAGAAATAATGTGTAAGCCCTTCTGCCATTCTCTTTGAGAGAGCTAAAACTACACTGCCTCTTTGTGTTTCTGCATGTCTTCTTGCCTGCTGATATCTCTAGTTCATGATTCCTGGAAGCTGTTTTAAGTCTTTCACTGTAGTAGGGTCTGGTCATGAGATTGTAAAGGAGAAAATTCCTAGGTTCTGCCTAGTAATGAAAGACCCAGAAACAGCTGTCAGGTATTGCTTCAACTAGTGGAATTCTCTATTGAGTTACCATCAAGTCAGGGTATTGTTGGGGGTCGGGGTGAGGGTGGGGTGCTAGTGCTAGGGGAGACTAGCAGGAGGCAGCACTAGGTCTGAAGACTGTTTTCTGTGTACGTCAAGATATATGATCATCCAGTCCGAACTGGTTTCCATCAACAACCTGTAGTCTCTAAGAAGAATGGCGCTTCAATTAAACGAGCAAAAGCAGAAATTAGTGGTTGGTTGACTCTCTGGATATGCAGGATTCCACTGTCGATTCTATCAAGCTCAGATTGGAAACATTTCTTTTAAAGAAACTGCCAATGAGGTCCATGTACAGAGATTCTTTCACCCTGTCATTGGTCTCCAAACAATGTGGGATGCCAACTGTTTATTAGGGATTTGCATGGCATCAGAAGCCATGATTTAAAGTGCAAAGGAGCAAGCACATAGGCGCTATGCAAATACCAAGTCATTTTATACTGGACTTGAAGTTAAGGACTTTGGCACCCTTCAGGGGTTCTTGGTACTAAAGAGGATGCTATTTCTGCAGTCTAGGGTGCAAATAATATGATATATATCACTGAGAAGCCTTACAACAAATTCAGTCCTTTTAAAAAGAAAAAATTACTTTCAAGCGTCTGACATTATTTAAAAAAAAAAAACTTAAAAATAAAATTCCTGAGGAGAAGCTGGCCTTGGAGCACAGGCAAGGGTCATTTGTTTTGAAGGTCTTAATGAGTTTTTGAATATGCAAATAGACGTTGAGAGAGAAACAGAACAAAAGCCTACCTAAAAAGGGAAGGAATGCTTCCAAGGCCTTGCAGGGAAGGTAGGGAGGGGTGGGGTGGGGGCACAGATGGGGGAGGATAGAGCTTGGAAGGTCAGGGTGCTGCCTGAGGGAAAGCATGTGACCTGGAAGGGGGCAGTGAGACCAGAGAGACTTGGTTCTCTTCCACAATGTCAATTTCTGCTCTTCTCTTCTCTGTTCTGGTCTGGAGTGTTCTCTACCTCAGACTCCCAGTGCAGCCCTGGACCAAGTAGCTTTGAGGGAGAGGAAAGATGGAGTTTGGGTCCAACATCTGGGCTCAAGTGAGAAGGAGAGAAGAGAACAACTACATAGCTTGAAAAGTACAGGATACATTTAAAGGCACTGGAAAAGGGGTAAGTCAGAGAAAATGGAAGCATCTCCCACAATTCCCAGGGCTGTGCAGCTGGCAGAGAGGATGCTGGGTTTCCCCATCATGAGCTCCAGCCATCTTTAGGAGAATGCCAAGCGAAAGGTGTAGCCTCAGGGATAGAATGCTTAGGGACTGACTGGATCCACTGGTACCTGGAGCCGTGCAGGGCACAGCAGTTGCAACCCGCTGGGCACATCTTGGCTTCATAGCACAGACATTTATAATAAAGATAAGTTGTGAGCAAGTCTTCAGAAAGGATGTGCTTTCTTCTGCGCAGTCTCCCACGCTTAAAGAAAGGAAGTAAAAGAGAGCAGAACTCTCACTGGGGTCTTTGTACCTCCTGCTACAGGCCAGGGATACATTGATTGCCTTCCAGCAATAGAAAGATGATGTTCAAAGTTCTGCTTAGGAGCTCAAAATACACACGAAGATGCTCTGAGCCCATTCCCTGTGGCCCTGCAGAGAGTGAATGCAGAACCTCTCCTTGGGGAAAGTCTCCTACCCTGTACCTGTGAGCATCCTGGGGGATAGTCAGGGCAGAGCCTCCTTCTGAAGGCAGGCTTCCTCTCAGCACCTGCCAGGGAGCCTGGGTGCTCTCTGCTATATTGCCAGAAGGACATCCTCAACAATGCTACTATCACAGGAGACATTCCTAGAGCCTCACTCCATGGACTCAGAACAGGGACTTAGTGAGCTGCAAAAGCAGTGTGAGAACAGGGCCCTGCGATCAGAGGAGGGCAGGTGTCGCTAACAGCTCCATCAATTTGGTGTTTTTCTGCTGAAGACCCTTCCTACGTGAGCATGTATTGGGACTTTTCAAAGGGGCAGGGAGGGGGTGCATGCACGCAGTGTTTGCCAATAGCAGCTTGGCCCACGATACACTGGCCCACTATCTCCTGGAAGCAGAGGTGTTTTCACAGACCACATAGGGACTCAGGGGCTCACAAGGCTGCTGCTATTTAATGTCCCCATTGAAGCATGTCACTCGTGTTTATCTGGCTTCACCCTCCTAGCCACCCTTTGTAGTTGACTCTATCAGCTTTTCACTGGAGGAAACTGAGGCCCGGGATGTTTCCATCCATTCCTGCAACTCCGTGCTGGTGACTTTTGAGTTTCTGCTGAGTCCCACAACACTGACACAGAGAAAGAGCAAAGAGATGCATGAACTGAGGGGACAGTGCATAACTCGGTAGCATTTCAGAGTCACATTGCTGAAAGCTGTCCCCCAAACTCAGAGGAAAGCAGACATAGAAGAGCGTATGTTTGTTTTGTTTTGTTGTCAGAGAGAATTGGTTTAACTTTGAACTAGAAGGGGCTGGAGAGGTGACTCAGTGGTTAACAGCACTTGTTGATCTTGCAGAGGACTCAGGTTCAGTTCCTAGTATCCATAGCATAGCACACAACCAGGCCTAACTCCAGTTCCAGTGATCTAATGCCTTCATCTAGCTTCTGTGGGTACCCAGCAGGCATATGGTATACATATGTAACATTCAAAGTGAAGACTCTTACAGATAAAATAAAACAATCTTTTTAAAAAGTAAAATAATAAATGAGGGGATGGGGTACTGCCTGAAGCAGGGGACGTGGAAAACTGGCTCCCAAGGATGGGAGTACATGGGAGGAAGAGAGGGAAGAGATGTAAGAGATGGCCTCCTGGGACACTTCAGGACCTGCTGGGTGGAGCAAGGTGCTGAATGAGGCTCTTCTCAGCTCCATACAGCTAGGATCCACTTTTTAGTGCACTGGGGAGCTGCTTGTCTGGGATCCACCCACTTCTGACCAGGGATTAAGTTTGCAAAAGACTTCACACACACACACACACACACACACACACACACACACACACACACACCACCGTGTCCTCTGCACTCTAAAGCATAATAGCATGTTTGTCTCTATATGGCCTCTTTTGGTTCTGTTAATTGACAACCCCCCCCCCAAAAAAAAAACATAGTCACCCACTGGTAAACCCGTCAATTCAGGCAGCAAAGAAAAGCATGCAGTGTCAAAGGCCAGCTCCCACAGCAGAGGCATTCTGGAAGGCGTACAACTGCACATTCCAAGAGCATTCAAAGCCAATCTGTAAAACTGTTGGTCTGTCTGGGATATGGCCCCGCTGCTGCCTGCTTGGCTCAGAGAACCAGAGACCTGGGTCATTTTGATGGCAAGCCATACAATTTGGTTCCACCTTGGAAAGGCTGCACCAAGACGGTGCCTCCAAATCTATCTCAGTAGTTTGGCCAGCAAACACAGTTCAGAACTGTTTGGTGGTAGGTTCTTGAAGGGCCACTAGATTAAAGTTGTAACTGGCACCTCAACCACGTGGCAGCCAGATGACAAAGGACCCGAGAGATGCTCCTTCCCAATTTGGTAGCTGGCATTCCTGGGAACTGGATAGGAGGAAGTCTTTGCTAACAGTGTTGCACAGATCTTCTGTTTGGATGAAGTTGTCCAGGGTTCTGCTCTAAGTGTTTGACTTTACTGTGGGGATCATTGACACATCTAATTGTCCCAGGCCAGATCTAGGAGGTGGTGTGAGTGTCTTAACTCACTGTCTTCTTTTTCCTACCATAGTCTCTTGACTCCCCATCTCGCTGAGATAACACAGACTCCTGGGGATGGCCCCATGCCGGTTCCAGAAGGCTGTATCTTACTGAGGTACCGGCTCCCAAAGCTGTCCTGCTGGGTGTTCACATGCTCACTCAGCTTCCCCAATGCTAGCTCTTCTGTGGTAACTGGACTTCTTGCTCTGAAGATGAGTTGCTAGGATAATACAGCTGGAACTATTTCACTCTCATCCTCTATCTAAGCAAACTGAAGGTAACACTGTGGTCTGCAGGGCTCACAGGAAAAAAGTGGAAGACCTGTCTGATTAAGTACTTGTCCATATTCACACTGGAAGTTGGTGGGAGAGCACAACACAAGGTCTCCCAACCCCCGTGCCCCTCCACGCATGGCCTAAGTGTAGACTTCCAGCAGGCACTTACCAACAGACCATTGGAGCCGTGGACAGTGACACAGCGGGAGAATGTGTGATGAATGGAGAGATCCCTGATGTACGTAGGTGGGTCATAGCCTCCCCGTTCATCCAAATCTCCAGCCAGGTGGAAGTGAATTGGGTACTGGCCCACTAGCTGCTGCCCCATGTACTTCAGCTCCACACCCTCCAAGTGGACAGCTTTAAACCCCAGTGCAAACTGCAACAGGAAAGTGAAAGTCAAAAGAACCCCAAGGCAGCCCCTGATCTCCCCCTCCCACACTGTGCTAACTGACCTGTGTTCCCAGAGGACAGAGGTATTATTTTCCTAGTGCTTTGTCACTGGGTTTTACTGACTGCATCCTGGTTACTTGATAAATCAAAGAGGCTCTGTGCACATGGCTGAGGATGCCAGGTCCTTCTTACACTAAGGGAGTCCAGCAAGGCATTACAGGATGCTGGAGGATAACAGACTGGATTGGAAATACCCAGGATGATAGGTAGGCTGGCTCTGCTCTTTCTTTACCACCTCCATAGCCAACTACAAGGAAAGGATAATCCTAAAATGCTTAGGGGGTAGGGGTGACACAAAACATGCTCTGGGAGTGCTGGCGAGTGGAGGACTCAGGGATTTATTGTTCACTGTGTGAAATCTTCTGGAGATGGAAGGAGTGCTGACACTAGAGTTATCGTGAGCCTCTGCTCTGGGAACATGCACGTTAGTGGCAGGTGGTCATAGCACAGGGCTGCTCCTGGATGTGCTCAGAGAAGCTGCTTGGGCAGATGATGCCTGCATTCCAGGACCTCAGCAGAACCTAAGGGTACATTTCTCTTCCTACCCACTGTTCCACCATCCCTTTCCCAGGACTCTCTGTCCGCAGGTAGAATCTCAAGTACCCTCCTGTAGGCTGAAGAGCCTTAGCCAGGCACATTCCTACCTTGATGTGGCCCCCAAAGGTATCGAAGTCAAAGAAGTCACAGATGTGATTGCTGTAGGGATAGCATCTGTCCTCCATCTCCCCCATCACCACAATGTTCCGAGTTAGGAGTCCGACCTCAGCCCGCATGTCTACACCATCAATCTCCTCCCCAATATGTAGGTACTGGGGCTTCCCTAGGGCACAAGACGGGTAGGGAAGCAGAATGACAGGTAAAGCATGCACACTGTGCTCCCGTCCAGTACTCCCACAGCTCCGTCCAGTACTCCAAAAGCTGTAGGTTGCTCTTCACCAGATCTTCATTCATCTCGGGTCCCACGGCCCTTGCTCCCATGATACAGAAGAGCAAAACTTTGGTAGGTATAGTCACATGCCTAGGAGTGGAGCCGCAGTTCATAGCTACTTGTACTTAGCTCTTAAGGCCATAGCAGGTGTGGCTACTTGTCCAGTAATATACACTCTGCTTCTGATTTTCAGAGCTGGACTCTCCCATGAATCATCTCACACAGGGCTTCCCAGAGGAGCTGTGCTTCCCCACCTCCTTACAGGGAGGTGTGTGGCCACAGGATATACATAGAAGTGCCAGGTATAACCTTGGGTTGTCTCTCTGGTGGGCCAACCTCATCCAGCAGAGGAAAGCCACAACAGCCTAGAGATAGCAGAGCAATGAGAGAGAGAGAGAGAGAGAGAGAGAGAGAGAGAGAGAGAGAGACTTGCACTATAGTGGGTCTCTAGCTGTAATTCTTAGGATAAAACAAACCTTCTCCTTTCAGACCCCTGCTTCCGAGCAGAGCCAACCCATGCTCTACTCTCAGCCTCGAGGAGAACGTGCTGGCCGGCATTCCTGTGTCTAGAGCTGTGGGCTTGCACACACACCCTTGTGGTTCCGAACGGAGCAATGGGGAAGGACTTGCACCCTGACCTGTGCTGACTCCATCCTACATCCCTCAGCGGAGGCAGTCTCTGAGGCCATGGATCCTAGCCCTGTCCTGTGGCACATTCAGAAGGCATCGCCTCCAGCTGGCAGTCCTTTTCAGTTCAGACATCTCATCCCTCATCTGCATTTCTTATGTTCGCTGCCCTCAGACATCCCCCGGCCTTGTTATCCTTGAGAAAAATCTGACAAACCAAACACCCTCCCACACTCACTCCAGTCCCTGTCCTGTGTGGCTGAATCCTTCACCCTGCGTTCTGCCCATTTTACTCCTCCCACGACCTCACCTCTTCTCTAGCCAAATCCCCTTCGGATTACCTCCCATCTCTTCTTCCTCCATCTGTGCAGAAAACACAGCTTATGACAGGCTCATCACTAAGATGGCTGACAGGGCTTGTGAATACTTTCTCTTTCATTTGAGGGTGCAATTTTAAAGAGCAACACTCTTCCATGTGGACTTCCAGCCCAAACCACAACACCTACATCACTTGGCTTTCACTGTGGCCTTGACTTCATCAAGGGGGTGCTTGCCTCAACCCTGAGATACCACTAGTGCCCACGTGTGAAGGCCATGGTTAAAATTAGCAATACCCACCACAGTGACCTTCCTCTGCTTTCTCATCCTCCCCATCACCAAGCACACATCCTGGGAGCTGACAGTATTGCTAAAGAAGCCTGTGGTTTTAGAATCTGCAGACTCAGTGAGATAGTGGTTTCTTTGAAGCAATATGACATTGGTGCATACTGAAGCTGAGAAAACAACTCCAGGCAAGTGAATGGTATGTGTTTTCTGTTACAGCTGTGACAGATTACCACAGGTTTATTTTTTATGATTCTGAATGTTAGATGTCTGAAATTAATTTTGTGGGGTGAGTCAAGGTGTTGGCATGGCTGAGTGCTTGAGAAAGAACCACATAGAAACTGTTCCTGGGCACTTTCAGATTCCAGTGGCCACCTGTATTCCTTGGCTTGAGACCCCCATCTTCCATTTTCCATAGCTCCCTCTGCTTCTGTCATTCTTTTGCTTTCTCTTCACTAATCTCCCATAATATTTCTTCTCTGGTACCTTTGTAATTACATTGGACCCACCCATACAATCCAGGACACTTCCATTTCTAGAACTTTAATCTAGTCATCACTGTAAGCCCTTTTTGTCATGTGAGGCAATGCTCACAGGAACTAGGATCACAATGTAGATTCAGCCTACCATAATGTCCTTAAGAGTATAGTTATAGTAACAGAAAGTTGACTTTGCATCCAGAAATGAAACAAGGAAAGGAGACCAGTATCCCACAGTCTCCTTCTAGGACTTATTCCTACTGAACTTAAAACTTCCACTAGGTTCTACCACCTTTTAACAGTTCCACACTGGTCTAACATACTAGAGAAGATCATTGGAAACAAGTTAACCACAGAATGCTGGGGCACTTCCTCCCTGAACTCATTGTGGCTTTTGGTTTGGGTCATGGGCTATGTGATGTCTTTACTGCTTTAAGGTCCTATGGCCATTCATGTAGAAATCTCTGCCTCTATCCCTGTTGCTCTCCCTACCTGTTGGTTCTGTGACCTTCACAAGCAAGCTAACAACAAGGCCTGCACTCTAAAGGGCAAAGCCTTTCCCCCAAGGTGGTATGCATGGCTTCTGAGGGACACTGTCTTTGGAGAGCCAGACAGAGGCAACATGAAGTCTGTCTGATGGATAAAAAGGAAAGAGATTCAAATTCAGAAAGAGACATTCTAGAAGTTGCTATAGTCCATCTCTAATTATGATGTCTTGGCCATGGAGGATTTTCTACCATCCTGCTTTTGATCTGCTAGTTTTTGATCTCCTCATGAGGATAAGGAAGGTGAGATATTGGTGAGTCTGGAGGAGAATGCAGGGACATGACTGTCATGGGGTCCCCTCCCCCTTTCCTAGTAGGCCCAAGCCATTTGAGACAGTTCTGACCTGGTCAGCCTGCACATGAGTGCTGTGAGAAGGTGGGGAGCGCAGGTGCCGGAGATGGAGATGGAATGTGGGAGCACCCCATACTCAGGATGGGATGAAAGAAATTAGGCACACCACTACCCTGGGTTTGCAGTTGGGAGTGGCCTGTGAAAGGGACAAGGAGAGATAAGTATTTGCACTGTGCACAGAAGCAATGTGGTAAAGGTTCTGATAAGAAGTCTTGGAGCAGGGGAGTTGGCTGGGACGGCAAAATTCCTGCCGTTCTCAGTGGGACCTTCATTTCCTTAGTCCATGGGAATCTGATACACACAAGCCTTCCATCTACCTGAAGTCACCTGTGCCCTGTGAAACTGGCTGCCCTTTAGTTCCTGTCACTGGTGAAGCTCTGGAGACAAAAGCCCTGACAGCTGCAAATATCATTTCTGTCCCTCTGGCCTCCAACCATGTGCCCAAGACTGTTTAATCACGTTCTATGAATTAACTAACTTGTTGATCTAGCTACCTTTGGGGATGGGAGCTATTTTTATCTCTGCTTCATAGATGAAGGGCCCAAGGTTCAGGGAGTTTAAACCATAGGCTCCAGGACTCTGCCACAAACTGAGACATACAGCCTGGCTCAGAGACATGTGGAGAATGGCTCTCCTTGTAGAGGCAACCAGGTGGATGGGAACTCTGAAGTAACAAAGGCCCTCAGGAACTAATCCCAGTCAGCCTGGAGGGAGCTAAAAAAGATGCACCGCCTGGCACGTTACATGCTCAGGAACTTCTGGGTATATAGATGATAAAATGTTCCACCCCTCTTTCTGTCCCCATAGAGGCAGATCCAGGGTGCCTCCCCATTCCCAGGGGCAGCAGGTGCTGACCCATTATCCACAGATGTGACTCCCACACCTCGACCACACCTAGCTGGTTACATCCCCAAAAGATTATTGCAGGCTGCCACAGCCTCAGACATTCTTAATAATTATGAGAGCAGTTGCTTTTTCCTCCACAATGCCGTATACCTGCAGGTCCTAAATGGCAGAAATGGCAAACTGAAGCGTATAAGGTCCAACCACTAGTAATCAATCATGTTCCTTCTAGCCTTCTCATACTGAGGGTTAGATGCTAAATTATTGCAGCCAGGACTGTGGAGATAACTCTGTCACCTGTCACCCAAATGTGAAGTTCAGTTCCCAGAACCTATGCAAATGCTGCTTGGGTGTAACAACCTGCCTATAATTCCATTGCTCAGATGGAAACTAGAGATCCCTGGAACAAGCTAGCTAGTCAGACTAGCTGCATTAGCGAGCTCTGAGTACCACTGAGAGGCTACCTCAGTGAGTTTAAATAAGCAGGAGAATGATAAAGGATGACCCCCAATATGAAATCTGAGCTATCACACACACACACACGCATATCCCCTAACATATGTCCAAACACATGTGAGCATGCATACACATACGAACACTAAACAGACACATAAATAAGAAGAATAAAAAGAATCATTACAGCTGATACTAACAGTAACTACAGCAAGGTAGGTGTGGTGGCATAGGCTTTTGACCCTAGCACTTGGGAGATGGAGGCAGGATTGTGAGTCTGGACTATCCTGGGCTATGTTAGTGAGATCTTATCTCTATCAATGGGGACACAGCTACTTGATTCCTCGTTTTTGCCACTGCCAAACAAGACAAAGCCAAAGATGCCTTTTGCAGACGTGTTCACTGATTATGTCCAGCATCTCACTCCCTCCTAACATTAGGATTCAAACCACACATAACCCCCATCTACAGCATCGTAGCATAGTGTCAAGTTCATGTTGTCGTGCCATGTCCTGTGGATGATGAATGAGGCGAACTCAAGCTCAGGGCTAAGAGAAGGGTGCTCTTCTAGGTCTATCTCCTTCCCTTTCTTGACTACAGATAAATTTCTCTGCTCTGGCTGGCAGGAAGCTCAAAAATAACTTTTATAGCTTATGTCCGCCATTCATGGACCTTTTTTCCCCCTGCTTTGTTACTTAGACTTTTATTCTCCAGATTATCCCTTATTTCACTTAGTTTCTTTCCTTTGGGTGTCAGATTGATCTGGACTTACTTATAAAATTCCCCAAAGCCTTTCCTGAAGAATGTAGGGGTTCAAAAATTATCATTTAGATAGGATTTCTTACCTTGCAGATTTTTCGTCTTCTAGACTTGACCTGCGCACTGCTACCTCCTTCTTTCTCTAGCCATACTCAAAAACTAGCATCTCACTAAAACTTGTGTGTTTTGCAGACTCTAGTCTGAGAATTGGTGTTTTGGGATTCCAGCTGTGCATTGCCTCGGTCATCTGACACCCAGGGCCATTTCCTCTAAGAACAAATTCAGCAGGTGGAACTGGATAACTGGTTCTCACTTCACTGAAATGAGGCTTCTCAAATTCTTCCAAGTACTTCCTGACCAGCCAAAAGAGATTGCTTTGAGGTTTAGTTTCTCAAGGCTTATTTCTAAAACACTAGACATTTGAAATATACTGGCTATGCCTTCTCAATGCTCAGTCTTCTCATCAAAATTGGGCTACTTCCCCAGACATGTGACAGTCTCAACACTCAGTAGTGAATCTCTCTCCTTCTGGCAGGTCACTCTAGTTTGAGGAAATGACCCTTTTATTTATTTGAGGCAGTCTAAGGATTGCTGATAAAAGTCCTGACCTCTCAAAGAAGCCTAGCCAGATTCCCTTACCCTGGACAGTGGCTGTTCAGCTTGCTTAATGTTCTAGGGACTCAGCATGCTTTCTAGAGACAGGGATGTCTAGGGATGTTGCCCGAAGCTCACTGCTGCTGAGGCCCTCAAAGCTGCCCTGCACTGAGTTCTTTGCAGCTTTGTTCTTCAGTTTTTAATTTGTTTCTCTGACACAAATGGCCTGTTTATCAATTCCTTTCTTGTTTCAGATAGTCAAGTTGGATTCTGTTGCTTACAACCCAAAGATATACATACATAATTTCCAGGAGCAATTGGCCTACATTATGTATAAGATTTCTGTGGTGGTTTGAATAGGAATGGCTCCTTAGGTCATTAGGGAATGGCACTACTTGAGAAAGAATAGGAAGTGTGGCCTTGGAGGAAGTATATCACTAAGGGTGGGTCTGGGATTCTAAATGCCCAAGCCAGACCCAGTGTTTTCCTCTCTTCCTGCTGCCTGCCAATCCAGATGTAGAACTCTCAGCTACTTCTCCACCACCATGTCTGATTTCATCCCACCATGCTGCCTCCCATGACAATAATAAACTGAATCTCTGGTCTGTAAGCTAGCCCCAGTTAAATGTTTTCCTTTATAAGAATTGTAGTCATGGTGTCTCTTCATAACAATATAACACTAAGTCCGTCTTTCTTTGCTCTCTAAGAATCAGTGATTCTGTAATATCACAAAACATAAAATATTGGCATGTAAGTTAAGATTCAGGAGAAGAAAAAAACTCAAAAGCTATGGAAGGAAGAGATTTAAAGCATTGAGGTAGACTAACACATTTTCAGACAAATGTTCATTCTGTCCTCTCAGGCTCAGAGAAGAAAATAGGCTTCTCTGAAAGTTCATATTGACCTTGACTATGGGATGCATTCTATACTGACCTGTGTTTTGGCCACCAAACTGTGACTGTTTTGTTTAATTTTTCTCAGTTCATTTTGTTTTCTTTTGTTTCGATGTATGGTGTTATCCTGAAGCCTGGGTTTACCTGGTGCTCACTATGTATCCCAGGCTGATCTCAAACTCATGGCCATTCTCCTTCTTTGCTCTCCCAAGTTCTAGAATTCTAGACATGAGCTAGGATGACCATCATGGGCCAGTTCTAAGCCCAGATCTTAGAAGTCTTCCATTCTCCCCTCCTCTCTATAGGAATCTCCCATCTCTGTCATGAGAAGAATGTGTCTTGGAAAGACTGAGAATAGTATGGAACCAATCTGACCCCAGCTTCTAGACTGGAGCTAGACTCAGCCTAGAAAGGCTTAAGCCTTGTGCTATGATTGTGTCCCCCAAAGGCTCATGAGTTAAAGCTTTGCCACAAGCCTGTGATGCTATTATGGGTAGGGTCTAATGGGAAGAAGTTAGATCACTGGGAAGATGTCCTTAAAGAGGATGCTGAGACTCCAACATCTTCTTTGTTTTGTTTCCTGGATGCATGAGATAATCAACTTCCTCCATCTTGCCCTAAACAACAGGGCTAACAAGCCATGAACTGAAGTTTCCAAACCCATGAGTTTTTCTTCTTAAGTGAATTTATTTCGGATATTAGTTAGACTTCCTGCCTGGACAATATTTAGATGCATCAATACGGAATCAATGCTTGCAGTGAGAATCTCATGATTTTCTTTGGTCTGTAGGATTCTGAGGATAGCCCACAGATACAGATCTCCTTTCCCTTGAGGTCTACCAGTGTTCAGATTCCTGCAGCCCAAAGTGAGGAGATACCTACCTGCCACCTTAACCTGTGTAGAGCTGCAAGCTCTGCAGGGGAGCACCCGGAACTCTTCTGCCTGGTACATGGAGTAGTCAGTGCTGGCAACGACCAGAGTGTCTCCAGGCTTCCATGACTGCACATTGTCCACCAGACTCAGGATGGTGCTGTTTACGTTGGTGTCGATGCTGACTGTGAGTTTGGGCCTCACTGTAACCCAAAACAGGAAGAACTGAGATACAGCCCTTTGCCTTCAGCAAACATGTGGCTGCCCACCTCTTCCCCTCCCCTCTGGAAATCGGTAAATGCCAGGTGTGCCCTTCCAAAACCCAAATCACCAGACTCTCTCTCATCCCAGTCTCAGTACTTACAGGTTTTTGAAGTCAACAAAAACCCAACCAAAAAAAGACCCATTCATTAGCTCTGGGCAGAGGAATTTTCCACTGACTTCTAAGCTGGTGTTCAGTGTGCTGCCTTACCACACCCACTTTGCCCAAGATGTAAAACAAATATAGTCCCTCTCCACTGTTATTTACAGTAGCCATAAGCCTCACTCCCAAGTCCATCCATAATGACTGCTTTCTGGAGATGCTGATTCCAGAACAAACCAGCCATTTCCAGTCCTTTCTAATGAGCACTGCCTGGGGAACTGAGTTTAAAACAACAGCACCAAAAGAGGCAGAGAGTCTGTGTCAACCCTGTCCATCAGCACACTGCATTCTTGGACCATGCCCACGCCTTCTAGAAAGGCTTACGACAGACCAGAGAATTACTATCTGCTTCCAATGCCTGGGACCCTCTGGTTGCTTCTGCACTGAGTGGGGATGCTTATGACATTTTGATGCTCAATTCAGCTGGTCCAGCTATCCTATTTCACAGTGCATAGAAGCCAGGTCAGGGATCAAGTTAGGGATCAGAGCTCAGCTGCATTTCTAACCCAATAAGGAGCCAGGATCTCCTTGCTTACCTGGTTTTCCACATAAGAATCGTACTCGATAGCTGCGGCAGGCTCTGCCCCGGGTGTAGCAAGCAAACCTGTAATCTTGGCCATTCTTGTAGACAACCTCAGTGCTGAGGGCGACTCCATCCATTGTTGTGGCCTGAGAATGGAATGGAAATTACAGAGCAAGGATCCTTTTTTTTTATAAAGAGGGAAAGTGCTGATTAATGCCCACAACTTATATTTACAAGTCTAAAATTGTCCCCACTGTGAAACTATTTACAACAGGCCAGGACTATTATCCCAACGGTCTTTGTGAGTTTTGTTATAATAAAGACAGCAGTAAATCTCAGAATTGAGGTGGCAAGGCCTGATTTGTGGGAGAGAGTCAGCTAGAAGGTCTGTGATCTAACAAGAGTCTGGAGTCCTACTTATTGGTCATCATTGTGCGTGCATTTATGGAGCATCCACCATACACAGGCTCTTCTAGAACCCTGATGCGTCTCTTCTTATGGCCATCTCACCACCATCAGTCTATGAAAGGAGCTGGCATTTATTTACTGGAGATTCACTCTACACAACCCACAGGTGCCCAAATGGGCTTCTACACCCCACCAGGAGTCTCTCTACCCAATAGGTTTCTCTAATGACACAATAAGCCAGTTCAGCCCAAACAAGATTATAAAGGCAGATTTATTGGGAGGTAGTTCTCCAGCAGTTCACTGATCTCAAAGGAGCAGGTCAGTGAAGTTGAGCATTCCCACTAAAGCAAAGGAGTTTTTTAGAGCTTTAGGTGAGGAGGGATGATATGTCCAATAGGAGCTGGGATTGTGCCCACATATGCTCAAAACCAGAGCCCCTGGACGGGTACTCTCAGATGGGTTGCTGGAAACATGGAAGAGAGATGGCATGTTAGCCCAGAGTGTTCTCTGTGTAGGTGGGGTTGAGGGAAGGAGAGTAGATGGGGTTTACCAGCTTGTGCAAGGGTGGACAGTGGTTCCAACCAAACATTACCCTCAAAGGCTAAGATCTGGTGTGTTTAGGTTGTACCCTAGGCATCTGGATTTTAAGAACTGCCCAGGTGATTCTAACAGGTAGGAAAGTTTGGGATCAGCTCTCTCAGTTAACGACCTAAATGCATGTGAATGTCCATTACAGCCTCATAGTGAAACTGTTGTGGTCATTGGTTCTAGAGATCAGAAAAATGGCCTTCAGAGAGGATGAGTAACTTGCCAAACATCACACTGTCAGTAAGTGGTGCAGTGAAAATTGAAGCCCAAGCTGATTTAGCTTCAAAGCCCCAGCTTTCAGCTATGTCCAGCCTAACAAACTTTATTCAGATGTCCTGTTTCCCATCCCCACTACCCGTCCACCCCCACTGCATCCTTGAAAGTGAGGTTGCAGCTGACCAGGGATGCCAGGCAAGAAGCACAAGAGCAGGATAGAATTTAGGAACAGGCTCAAAGGATGGTGGTTCCTGCCAGCTGGGGCTCATCCCAAAGGCAGGGTGTGTCCCTCTGCAGACTGTGGCTGCCATTCAAAGACAGGCAATTTAGAAAAGCACTGTGGCCATCTTTGGCACAGAAACCATGGAGACAAGGACAGGCTTAGAGAAGGGAGGAAAGTATCACCAATGAGAGAGAGAGAGAGAGAGAGAGAGAGAGAGAGAGAGAGAGAGAGAGATTGAGAGAGAGCTAGACTTTTTAGGAAAGATTATCTAGAATCTAAGTAACAGACTAACAGAGCCAGCTTTGTCTTTGGCCTGGAAGGAGGTCTCTCAGAATACTAAATTTCAATCAAAACCCTGTTCTTCCTAAGTCACTCTCACAGCCGTGATTTCCACGGTCTCCATTTCACTGAGACAAGGTTGTAAACCTGTCCCTTTGGTACCCATTAAAACTCAAAGTGTCACCACCAAGTTCAAGTTCATCAACTGTCAAGTCCTGTTCCTCTGACCTCAGAGCCCCACGAAGGTAGGTCCATCTTCAGTGGGAACCTTGTCACGCTGACAACAGGGCCTCAACTCATTCCCTATTAAAGTTGGATATTCACCACAGAACAAAAACTCCAGTAATGATTTCAAGGGAACTGCTTAATTTACACCGCTTTCTTTCTCTAATGACCTCAGTCAGTCTTATATAAGAAGGGCAAAAAAGATCTATCACAGCTAAACAGCAGGAATCTTTAAAGAAATATTATTATTCGCCATACTTGCAGGTAATAAAATACTCAGTAATGTTTCGTTTTTAACAGTAAATTTTTAGCAAGGCAGTGTGGCACAATGGTACTTGCCGTTAATCCCAGCACCCAGGAAGCAGAGGCAGGTGGGTCTCTGTGCCAGCCTGGTCTACATAGTGAGGTTCAGGCCAGCCAGGCATTATGAGACCCTGTCTCAAACCCCTCCCTGGGTTTTTGAATAAAATTTATAGAAGACACTCAGACACCCATGTCCATACATGGTCAGTCCACAAAACCAAGTTGTGAGGGAACATTTACAACCCCTATTTTTGCACTGAGCCATAAAGTCAAATACTTTTTATGTAGATCTATAGCTATCATGTACAAGCAAAACTAGAACACAGGGTTTAAAAATGCTCACTGTGAGGGTAGTGCACGCATGGTCACCCTGAGGAGGCATGCCACCCAGGACATTCACACACAGCCCAAAGCTGTCAGTGATGTGGAGGGGGAACTGTCTCAGCTAGTCAGATCTCTCGGGCTTCCATCTCTGTGTCAGCTACTGTTAGGTGACAATGATAATCCTGTTGTTTTTCCCCATTCTCCAGTCCTCTAGAGGTCACAGATGTACATCCTACCCTGTCCCCAGAGGATCTAACTATGTCCATTTGGAACAGGTAGGTATCCAGAGTCCATGTCAGACGCAGTCTGGGCAGTGGGGGGTGGTACAGCCAAGAAAAGAGCTTAGTGAGGGCCCTGAGCCCTCAAGGAGGTGAGAAACCATTGGCATCTGTGGGGGCAAAGATGGTCTATGAGTCTCTTTCACTTCAATGTGTGCCCAATGTAGAGGTCATCTCCTCCAGGTAGAATAAACTGTGAGTGGAGATCCTTTGCAGACTCCATGAATGCTGACTTTTATGTACCTGCTGGGATTGGGCTACACTTCAAATCCTATCTGCCCACTGTGTGTCTAAGGGCCCATAGGGCATCAACACAGACGTGAGCTTGGTGGGCCAAGCAGAAACCTGCAGCCTTGGCTGAGGAAGCAGAGTGACAAGAGGGAGAAGAAACTCAGACAGGACCTGGAGTCGTGGCTTCGGACAGATAAGGAACCTTCACTTCTGTCTCTCAGGTGGGAATAGTGCAATCTGGTTAACAGATTCACTTCAGAGGAGGGCACAGAGAGTAATTCCACCCAAGTGACAAGAAAAGCTCTGGGTAAGTTGGGGTCCTTATCCCTCCACAAATTTGTCCTTCCTAGAAGAAGTGCAGGGATAAAGATGGAGCAGAGATTGAGGGAATGGCCAACCAATGACTGGCCCAACTTAAGACCCATCCCATGGAGAAGAACCAGTCCCTAACATTATTAATGATACTTTGATATGTTTGTAGACAGGAACCTAGCATAATTGTCCTCTAAGATGCTCCACCCAACAGCTGGCTGAAACAGACACAGAGACCCACAGTCAAACATTAGATGGAGCCCAGGATTCTGTGGAAGAGTTGGCAGAGGGATTGAGGGATTTGGAGTGGGTCAGGACTCCACAAGAAGACCATCAGAGCCAACTAATCTTAACCATCAACCAAAGAGCACACGTAGGCTGGACCTAGCTCCTCTACTCCTCAACAAATATGTAGCATAGGTACAGCTTGGTCTTCACATAGGTCCCCCAACAACTGGAGACGAGGCTATTCCCAACTCTGTTGCCTGTAGATCCTGTTCCTGTAACTGGGCTGCCTTGTCTGGCCTCAGTGAGAGAGGATGTGCGTAGCTCTGCAGTGACCTAATGTGCCAGAATGGGTTGGTACCCAGGGTGGGGCCTCCTCCTTATCAGAGGAGAAGGGAAGGGGATGTGGGAGGATAGGTTATATGAGGGAGAACTTGGAAGATGGGGTGCTGATATTGGGATGTGAAGTGAATATATAAATTAATGGAAAAAAAGCATGAAAAAAAAGAAAAAAGAGAAGTTCTGACACACAGAGCCTTCTTCAAAGTCAAGCCTTGCAGACTCCCTGGATGTTGTGCGGTTGGTACCTGTATATCAATGGGTCGATTGCAGATTTTTCCTGGGTAAGCTGCTCGCAAATCTGAAATTTTCTCCCCACCTTTGCTCTGAGGCACCTTATCATGGTCGAACCACTCCGTCCATTCCACATCTAGGCAGAAAGCAGAGACGAGGTCAGACAGGACCTTGTTTCCTTTTGACTTGTCTCCTAAGGACTGTTCCCTATATAGGTGATATAGGTTTCTCGTTATTATGAAAGAAATGAGCAGGATGGAGAGAAATAAAAGCCCATCCGTACACCTGCCATCATTACCACGGCTTGCTTTCTGTAAGCCTGAGATAGCTGCTGGAAGGCCAGCTTCTATCCCAGCTTCTGTCTGCATTTCCTGTCCAACCCCATGACCTGGCATATAAAAAAACCAAACTTGTCTCCTAATGTCCCTGTGGAGGTGCAATGCAAATCTTAACCACAGGTGAGAGCTTGCTAACAATTCTCCAGTGTGGCTTGATTAATGAAAGACAGCTTCAGCTGCAACTTCTCAGTTGATGTCTAGTAAAGTGTCCCTACTGATATAAGAAATCCTCATTACTCCTGGCCAGCACTCCTGCAAATTGGCTTTAGCAGTCTGTCTTAAACATCTCACCTTGAACCCATTCGCTGGATGAAGAAACATTGAAATGTTCGCCATGCTCTGTCTGGAACAGTTTGAAAACCCGGGCAGCAGCCGAGCCTTTGTGACCTGTCAGAAGCACCAGACATGTGAGGAAGCCAATAGACCCTTAACTCCATGATGATGCTGACCTTACAGCAGAGAGCAAACCCCTACACCCATGTCTCTTTGTTTTGATTTGGTTTCGTTTTAGTGCTTTATTTTTGTTTTTTTTTTTTTGTTTTGAGATTGAATCTCAGGTAGCACCCAGGCTGGCCTTGAATTATGTAGCCAAGAATAACCTTAAAACTTACCTTCTTGCTTCCACCTCCCAATTGTAGGGATTTCAGATATGCACTACCAAGTCCAGTTCACAGTGGATTTTTTTTAACTCAAGGATCTTGAGCCATTTCATTAAACAATATTTTCCCATAATCAAATTATTCTTGTCATTTAGAAAGAGGTTACATCCATTTTGTGTGCGTGTGTGTGTTTCAGTTTTGAAAGTTCAATTACACCCTTCTGACAAATGGAAAGTTGAGAAAATCTATTATTTCTCATGATCTGCGTTCTGCCCTGGACTTAGAACTGGCAGAACTCACCCTAACTACACGAGGCAAAGACACTAGACTGTCTGAGAAAGACCCTCTACAGGCTGTGGATGTAGCTCAGACAAAATAATTGCCCAGCATGCATAGAACTGTAGGTTTATACAATGGGGGTATGTATATACTTGTAATCTCAAAGCTTAGAGTAGAGGCAGAAGGTTAGAAGTTCAAGGTCATCCTCTGTTATATACTGATTTTGAGGCCAATCTGGGCTACTCACACTATCTTAAAAAACAAACAAAAAGACAAACAAACTTTCTATGTTTTCTAGTCCATAGTGTTCTTCTGGAGGTCACCTCTCAGCACTTAACTTTTCTTTGTCAGTGAAGACTTCTTTGGACATACAAAATCCTAGGGAGAGATTTACTTTCCTCTAGCCTGGACCTGTGTTGCTGGCTCATAATGTAGTGAGTGAAGTGGCCAGATTCTTAGCTGAGTCCTTGCAGAAGGGCAGCTACATTCTGAGAGCAACCAGTCACTCACAACCCACAACTCCTTTCATCAGGGAGATACTGGAGAGGACCAGGACTCTCACCAACCATTCATTACCATGGTATTCAATGTGATCTTCAACTGAAGATGAGGGATTTCCTTTCACGGTGATGAAGCTCCAAGGGTGTCTGAAAAAAAAAAAAAAACAGAGTCAGGTTTTTTACATGTTGGTGCTGGCACTCAGTAAGGCTCACAGAATGAAGACACAGTCTCATAGCTGAGTCTCCCTAGAGACTGGAGGAATTTACCATCCAACCATGGGCTTCCTTTCCCCATAAAACAATGGGCTTGCTCTCTTTGCAAGCACAAGGCTGCTTGCTTCCTCAGCAGCCTGCTAGCCTGGGCATCTCTTCCCTGGAGACAGTTTTACTCAATGCTGGCAAAGAATGGATATGAATCACAAACAAACACACCAACAACTCAACCAACCATGTCATCCGCCAAGCCCAATTAGGTTCTGCAGCAAATGTCAGACGGGTTCCAAAAGAGATGATTCCTCTCATGCCCATTGCCCAAAAGAGGTGAGCTCAAGGAAAATGGCACAGGATACTATGACTGGCCACTTAGCCGTCTGCCTTGGATCTTAGAAAGGGGAGAAGTATGTTGGCCTGGTGATGGGGAGGGAAGGAAAGAAAGGTGAATGAACTGGAAAAGTCACATAGCCATGGCACAGGATACTATGACTGGCCACTTAGCCGTCTGCCTTGGATCTTAGAAAGGGATGAAGTATCTTGGCCTGGTGATGGGGAGGGAAGGAAAGAAAAAGGTGTATGGACTGGAAATGTCACGTAGCCTGAAAGTGGGCACTGCTCATCGGCAGGTTTTCTTTGTGGTTTTTGCCTAGCATGCTACAGGCAGTGATTGGGGTAAGGGCCACACCCTAATACACCACCCTGGCATATTAAGCTGTCTATACTAAATGGAACTGAGAAATGGCAGAAATGACTCTCTATCCTGCCTTCCTCAGCTCCCGGACAGAGGTGTCCTCTCTAGAGCTGAATGAAGATTCTGGGAAGAACTCCAAGTCTGTTCATGACCATTGACTTATTAGAGAAAGACTTATTAGATTTTCTTATTACTTTCTACATCTCATGAAATTTAGCAGAAAAATACTCAGGTTTAACTATTGGATTCTTATGGCTTCTGTTTCCTTAGGGAGGTCCTACGTCATGTTTAATTTAGCATAGTGAAATCTGTGTAGCTTTCTTCTAAGGACCGGGATCTTATCAAAGACTCTCCCATACCCCAAGAATTCACCAAGTGCTTCTCTAAGACACAGCAAAAGATCACATGATGTGAGTAGCTTTTGATTTTGCTTGAACCACCCGTGTTGGGGAGTCAGTGCTGAATGATGTTCAGCTGAGGTTTAAGATTTTGTTATGTCACACTCGTACTTAAATTTTTCATTGGCTCCCCATTGCCATTGAGCAAAACTGAAGCTCATCAGCACAGAGCCATCGACCCTCCAATGTCAATCTTGTATCCTTGTGTCTCTTGCATCCCTCCCATGTACATCACTCTTAGTCCTTCTCAACTCCACTGGCTTGGCCTCCTCCCAACTGTGGTCCTGCACTTGCCCATTCCCCTTGAATCAGCTCCCTTTGCCCACTATCTTTCCCTCTCCCTCTCCCCCTCCCGCTACCCCTTCACATCTCTCCTCTCTTCTCTCTTCTCTTCCTCTCAATCTCTCTCTCTCTCTCTCTCTCTCTCTCTCTCTCTCTCTCTCTCTCTCTCTCTCTCTCTCTCTCTCTTTCTCATTCTTTTTCATGGGTCCCATGCAAGCTCAGCAGGCTCAGCTGAGTGAATCCCACCAAACCTCCTGTTTTTTGAAGGAATAGATAGGGGTCCCAGTCCCAGCACATCTACTGATTTTTAGATGCTCAGCTCTTGTCACCCCAACATATAAAGGAGGGATGATTATGTAACTCCTGCTTGCTGTGACCAGGATGACATGTGGAGGTTCTCATTGTTCTAGTGACTCTCTTAGAAGGAGAGAACACTCATTAAATGCCAGGCAGGGTGACAACTATGTTACTCATATTATCCCATGGAACCCCTCCCAGCACTCTTTTGCGATAGATCCTGAGATACCCTATTTTACAGATTCCAGAATTAAGCAAAGAGGATGAGTCACTTGCCTGTGGTCACACCTCAGAGGCAGCGCAGCACAGATTCAAAGCTAGGCGTCAGAAGTCAGGCTTTGGGCTCTGAGCCACTACAACCTTCGCCCGAGTCCCCTCAGTAGCTTTTTTCTTCATAGTCTCTTTCTCATCATAAATTAATAAACTGACTTTTGCGTTATAATGTGGTGAAATATAAGTGTGTCTGGCGTCTGCTGACAAAGGAGGCCTGCCATACCAAGATTTCCATGTCATATTTGGCTGCCTGAGCTTCCTGCCCCAGTTTCCCTTCCAGAAGCAGCAGCCAGAGAATATGGCCTGGGACCTGAGGTGTCTCTCCTTGCCCAGAGGATCTCTGGCCAGCCAGCTAATTTACTCTTTAAGTTAGAAAAGGCTCTGAGCATCTCTTGCTTGCCCTTGTCTGAGGAGCTGAAGAATGGGTACCATAACCACAAACAGCTAGGGAACAGATGATCTCAAATTTACCCAATCTGAGAGCTGGCTTCAGGATCAAAAGATGTGACTGCAGTGTGCCGAAGGACTTCCTGCAGTTGTCAGTGTGTGCACATGCCAACATCAGGCATGATGCTACAATCTAAAGCAAGAGGCTACACACTAGAACCTGTTAAATAAGGCTCTTTTCCTTGGGTGTTTAGCTGGGTGGAGATAATTGCATAATCTCTAAAACACTGTCTGCCAATCCCCAAGGCACAATATGAACCTTGAAAGGGTAAACAGACAACAAGGCTCTTATTTCCTTGTTCATTCTAGGCAAACTCAGTGCTTGTAAGTGACTGAAGAAGTAAGTTCATATAGAAACCTGTGCATTGTAGTAGTGGGCTTTTCCTGTAAAACCAAACCAAAACCAAAACCAAAACCAAAATCAAACTAAACTAAACCAAACCAAACCAAACCAAACCAAACCAAACCAAACCAAACCAAAATAAAACAAAAAATCCTAGGCTTCCTTTGAGCACCATGCCTGAATTTGTCCAGTGTAGGTTAGCAATGTGCCTGCAATGCCCTGTGCTGTCGTTCCAAGTCCTGTGGAGCTTGAGATATGTCCTGGTTAACATGGACTGCTTCAGTTGAGCGGAGACGAAAGTGATGGACAGTACCTAAATCCAAGGTGGAGAAAGTGCTTGCTGCCCAGTTTGGTCATTGCCTTCCGGGCTGTGTCATCCAGGTTTCTAGAACCTTCATCATTCACTGCAACAGAAAGAATCCTGCCATCGGGCACTGCATTCAAATACTGGACCAGACGTTCACTCTCTTTCTTGGATCTGTAAGTGTCGAACCTAAAAGGAGTAGACAAAGTGAAGATGTGGATAGTCTTGGTAGCAGTCTGAAAGAGACAGAGACCTAAGAACACATGTGTTTTAGCAGCTAAGGTATTGTCCACAGACCTTGAGGACTATAAACAAAGAAGCCTCTTCAAAGAGCAAGCAAGTTTGGCTTGCCATACAGAGCTACTCAAGAAGAGGGACTTTGATTTGGTCACACTTATCATTCACACAGGAAAAGATCTCAGAAATATCTCCAGAGGGAGATGATCTTTGGATCTGGGAAGTAGAATAAGTCACATGCTTTGGGTTCAGGCTTTCCGTGTCCCCTTTCTTCCTGGGAGCTGTTGCTCATGCCTCTTGGAAGGGATTAGCATTAGGAGACAATCAGGACACCTACAGCAGCAGGGATTTCTATCTCTGATCCAGACCAAAACAACTCTTCCAAAGTCTGTGGGAATGATAGCGAGGCTGCCTCATGTCATGTCTCCCAGTCTGGAACAGCTCAGGTGTATTTCAGTCATTAAACGGTTAGTAGTGTTAGACTTTTAAACCACTGTGAAGGCCATTGCATTTCTGCTTTTTTCCTTATTCTTTCTCTTTTTAAAAAGTTTAGTATAGTAAGAACGCTAGTCAAGAAATTTGCCCTTTTAAACAAGCTTTTAAGTATGTAATGCATTATGGTTGACTACAAGTACCGTGTTGTAAGAAGTGATCTTAAACAAGATTTAAGTATGTAACATACAATGGTCATTTACAAGTACAATTCATTGTAAGGAATGATCATCCCTTACTACATTGTGTGTGTGTGTGTGTGTGTGTATGTGTGTGTGTGTGTGGTATAGATAGAGAAAGGTTCTCACTCTGTAGATCAGAACGGCCCACAATATAGCAGAGACTGACCTTGACCTCAAAGAGAGCCTTCCTCAGCCTCCCAAAGGCTGAAATTAAAGGAATGTGTAATCTCACTGGGTTCTAACTTTTTTTTTTTTTGAGATGGAGAAGTATATCACATTATGTTGCTCGGGTTGGCCTTGAATTCCTGGAATCAAGTAATCCTTTCTCAGCTTCTCAAGTAGCTGGAATGTCAGATGCACCCCTCCAAGCCTGGCTAATTCACTCTTACAAGTGAAATTTACGAAAGATACAGATGTTTAAAACCAACAACTATACCCTGATAGTAAGAAATCATAAAGGCAAACAATTGCTCCAGCATCAGTAATCTAAGGTGGCAATGCCACACCAGGGACTTTCCTTTGTTAATAATTGTTTTAATTTTGAAATTATAATATAATCACATCACTCCTCCCCATCTCTCTCCCATCTTCAATCTCTCCCATTAACATCCACCTGGGCCTCATTCAAATTTATGACTTTTTTGTTAAGTATGTTCAATGTGTGTGTGTGTGTGTGTGTGTCTGTGTGTTTATTTCTTTCTTTTTTTTTTTAAAGATTTATTTATTTATTATTATATATGAATACACTGTAGCTGTCTTCAAACACACCAGAAGAGGGCATCAGATCTCATTACAGGTGGTTGTGAGCCACCATGTGGTTGCTGGGATTTGAACTCAGGACCTCTGGAAGTGCAATCAGTGCTCTTAACCACTGAGCCATCTCTCCAGCCCCCTGTGTGTTTATTTCTAAATACAACCTGCTTTGTCTGTATAATGTTACTCACATGTATGTTTTCAGGGCTGAACACTGGTATTAGTAACAAGTTAGTATGTTTTTCACCCCAGGGAACGCTATTTCCTCTGGCTCTCAGCATTCATTAGTTGTCTTTAGTTCTTTCTGTAGGGTTTAGGCCCTCTGACCTGTCGCTTCCACACTGCCATGTCTACTGGTGTTGTCCTTGTTCTGGTCATATAAAGTTTTGTACAGTTACAATGGAAGAGATTTGTCTTTGAATTTAACAAGCAAATTGTTCGGAAATGAATCTTGAAAAATAAGCCTGTGTAGCTAGCTAAGAACATTTGGAAAAGGAGAAGGTACCACAGTGTAGTGAAGTAATTGGAGAGGTATTGTTCAGTTGCAGATTCATAGCATCTGGCTCAAGTGTGCTTCTGAAGTCTTGGCCTCCTCAGCCTGTTCCCATGGCCAGCCTTTATCAAAGATCCGTGATACCATATCCACTCCTCCTTCAGGAGCCTTGCCTTCTCCCCTGACCCCAACCCCATCAAAGCCTAGCCACCTTTAAAAGCCAACCCATTTCTCATTGCTTCTGGTAAATTCCTCCGGCATTTGTCTGTGCTTATTAATCCTCGAGGTCTCCAACATTCTTTAAGCCAAGGAGGTGAAGTGAACACCTATCACCCAGTTAAAAACCCGTTCTAGCTGTCCCCTATACTGACAGCACTTTAGCTCCTCCTGACTGGCCTCCACACTGCATCTGGGCTATGTGACATTGATTCCTGTACCTGCCCCCAGAGGGTCCCTGACTCTGCAGCTGTACCCATAGAACCCTGTCTCTCTAGGTGTATTCTTCTGGGGATCTTTTCTAAAGGGGAGCTTAAGAGCCCTGAGGACACAGGACAGGTCCAGCTCTGCAGAACCAAGGTAGACCCCAGAGTCCTGCTGCTCTGCCTTCCAAGTCTCCCTACAGTCTTCTATCTCCAGTACTTCCTGCAGACACCTCATCCCCACCTACACTGCTCACCTGGCCCACTGCTAGGGCTTGACTATTGAGGTCTAGTTTGTTGCTATCTATTATAATGCTAAATGCAGGCCCCCAAGACCTGGTTGCCCCAGAGGCAAGAGAGTCAGTCCCCTTGCCCCCAAGTTATTTCTGATTGGTAAATAAAGATGCTGACAGCCAAGCTGGGCAGAAGAGATGTAGGCAGGGTTTAGGGTTCCGGGGACTTGAGGTGGGAGGAGAATCACGAGAGGGAGAAGAAGGCGGGAGATGAAAAAGCCACCATGGTTTAGGTGAGTCATGAAAACATGGCCATATGGGTTGGCTAATTGGAATTAAGAGCAGCCTAGATGAAACATGGCAAATTATATACTGGGATTATTGGTTGGGAAATAGACATAATAGTGTAGAGGTAGCTATCTGCCCAGTTGTTATGCTATGTTTATTATAAATATAAAGATCGTATGTGTCTTTTATCTGGGAACTATATGGTCAAAGGCAGGGTAGAAACCCTGGGTTGGGATTAAATAATTTTGACAACACCTGACAGTCATCACTTTGCCCTCCACTACCATCCCATTTTCTTCCCAGTCACCAGAATGTTCTTTTCAATTAGATCATGCTTTCCTTGAAGACCTCCGATGGCTTCAAATCTCGCTGAAAATAAAATCCACTTCTTTACTGTCACCTGTACCTCTCCTCCTCCATCCTGCTCCACATGTCCCACCTTTGAGCCCCTCTCCCTCATCTAAGAGTTCAGTTCTTGGGATACCTCTGGCTCTTTGCACTTGTGCTGAGCTTTTTTTCTGACACAGTTCTCAGCTCACAGGCTGCTCCTTCACACTGGCCTTTCCTGATCACCTGTTTAAAGTGAATGGCTGGTTCCTTCTCTATTATTCCACTATGCCTTTTACATTTCTATTACCACCTGAAGTGTGTTTGTGTGTGTGTGTGTGTGTGTGTACTCGCACACATTTGTGTTAAATTCAGCTTTGCTGAGCAAATGCCTAGGAAAGAAGGTGCCTCTCTAGAGCAGGACTGCCCTCTCCATCATTCACACAGCATGCCAGCCTCCTCTGGTTGGGAGAGATTCTGAACAAGCGAGAACATGAGTAGAGGAAAGCCAACCTTACCGGTCAGAATGGACAACTGTGCCCAATTTGGCGTCAATGACATGAACAATGACTCCACGGTGCCCCCAGCTCCTTTCAAAAAAATATCCTCCTTCTTGCATGCCACCAGGATGAAGGGTCTTGTTTAGAAAAGTCCAGGAAAGCTTTTTCTGCCCATGTAACTCTAGAGTGCCTCCTTTGTCCACTCCGATGTACTTCAGGCCATAGTAAGGGTCCGGCAGGATGTTTTCATCAGCCCTGTAAAGAGAATGGTTCCAAAGGTTTGAGCAACACATCTCGGTCAGATGCTGAGCCCTAGGGGAGCATCACTGGTCCCAGATTCTCACTGTGGCCTCAGAAAGCCAAATTGCACTTTGGCGACGACATTAGGTCTGCAGAAAAGCATTAGTAAGCTGACCTTCCCAAAACAGAGTAACAGCAGGTATACAGAGAAGCAGAAGTACCTAGCAGACACTGTTTGCTGGTACGGTCTTCAGCTCTGGTTTCTGTCTCTGCCCTATTGACTATGGAATAACAGGTACTTTCACTGTGTTCCTGCCTACAGTCAAACATTCTTAGCTATCACTTCTTATAACTTACTGTTTTTTCCTTTTTTTATTGGATATTTTATTTATTTACATTTCAGATGCCATCCCCTTTCCCCATTTCCCCTCCCTAGAAACCCCCTGTCTCATCCCTCCTTCTCTTTTTTTGCTTTTATACCATTTTAATTACATGCAAGTATTAAGGTCAGTTCTAGGTTGAAGTACTAGCAATACAATAGATGCAAATAGTCAAGGAACAAGCAAGACAATAAACACAAATAGTCAAAGAACAAGCAAGGCAATAAGCAAAATTCTGTGAACACTCCCCTGATCACTGTTTCTAAGGGCTTATCAGGATGACCAAAATGTCTGAGCCAACTTCCCGGTCCTAGCCCAAAGTCATTTTCATGTCTGAAGCCTACATCCTTGTTCTAGCCTAAAATTTAGATTCCTGCCTGAAATTACTTCTTTGTTCTAGTCTAATGTCAGATTCCTGACTGAAGCCCACTTCCTTGTCCTTGGCCAATGTCATATTCCTGCCAAGTAGCCTGTTTCCTTGTCCCTGGCCCATGTCAGATTCTTGCCAAGCAGCCCCAAAAGCTCTCTGCATCTCCCCCTTTTTTATTTCTTTTTTCTTTTTCTTTTCTCTTTCTTTCTTTCTTTTTTCTTTTTTTCTTTTTTTTTTGGTTTTTCGAGAAAGGGTTTCTCTGTGTAGTTCTGGCTGTCCTGGAACTCACTCTGTAGACCAGGCTGGCCTCGAACTCAGAAATCCACCTGTCTCGGCCTCCCAAGTGCTGGGATTAAAGGCATGAGCCACCACTGCCTGGCTCCTTTTTTATTTCATAAACAAGACTGAGCCTGTCTTAGGTCATTCTGCCAAGAATGCCTTCCTTACCCATCTTGGAATATGCACAATCAAAGGCAATGGACTTATGTCTTAGGTTGGTAAGGCTCTGTGCAGAATCTTACCCGTCCTTGGCTTGCCAGCCTGTTAATTTAATAACTTTGTCTAGAGGTCCATTTTTAGGTTCAAGCCATGTACTTTGGCTGTCAACAAGCTTTAAAGCTTGTCTTCTTATAACTATAACTTTCAATTGCTTAAAGATGGGTCACAGGAAAAAAAAAAAAAAAAAGATGGGTCACAGCCCTGAGGGAAAGGCACATGGAATTTTCCTGAGTCTTATTGCTGATCTTCTGTTTTCTCCAAATGGAATCATCCTCTCCTGGGATGTGGAGGGATGCTCATAAGACTCAGAAATCTCAGGGAAGTTATAAGTCTCAGAAGGACCCCTCCCTTGGTAATATACAAGCAATAAACAATTGCTTAGGTAGAGGGAGCTCTCCAGTGGAGTTGCCTGCCTGTTGGGCTTTAAGCTTCAGGGATGCAGTTTTCCCGAGTCAGTACCCATGCTGTGGTTGCTTTTAGGTGATACAGCTACTTTTAATCATCTGCTGTTAAAAGTAACCCAAATAACCTTATAGGTTCTACAAGCTAGATCTGGGTAGAATTATATCTCAGGTCTGTCATTGGTGCCCTCTCTGGAATAAATACATTTGTTCATAACTTCCTGTGAAACATTGCATACTTATCATTTATAGCACAAAGTAACCTCATTCAGAGTTTCTTCAAATCATGGAATGGCTGGAAAGCTACTGAAAGCCTTCAGGAATTTCTGTAATGCAGTTACTCCATATACAGCATGATGAACAAAGCACATCTCGGATACCTACTTACTCACTTAATCGCGCCTGTCTCATTCATGGTTATGGTACATATAATGGTTCCTGTCCTTTACAGAAGTCCAGACTTCTGGCTTCCCTCTCCTTTGGAAAACCTCTTTCCCATCAGACTCACCACTAGTGCTTGACCCCTGAGCAAAGTTGTCTCACCTTCCATATAGCACAATACTGAAATTGCCCTCAAAAGGGCAGAGGGCACTCCCAGCATGCAGCTCTCCACCATCATCAATTAGGATGTACCGGGTGCGCAGCACGATGTGCTCGTGGTGGTCTTTAATGACAAGCTTTCCTGAAGAGAGAGGAAAGGGGATGTCTGAGAAGACAAGAATCTTAGGTAATATTAGAGCAGAGCTCAGAGCAGATTCCCCATCCCCTTAGGCAGGAAAAAGGACATCTTCTCAGCACTTCTATGCTCATTGTCTTGCAGAAATTACTTTTCCCCATCATCTGCTTTGCAAGATATAGACAGTGATCATCTAGTTCGTTGCCATTACCCCATGTCCTGAGCTTAATTACCAAGCATGTTGATGTAATAACAACAGGTCCTTTCAGAGCACTAATAGAAACTGTCATTTTAAACACTCTTTTCCTCCCTAAAGATTAGAACTTTGACAAGCTATTTCTCGGTGCTCTGAGTGGATGGCAATCTCAAATCTCCAGATCTTCCATCGTGAACCCAAAGCATAGAGCTTTTTTCTGTCTCAGATCCTGGCTGCTTAGATCCATTTGCAGGACTCAAGATGGTGGAAGGGACAGGAAGGCTTACCTCCCCCTGAGATAGTGATAGAGTGGACTGTGGCAGAAGAGGTAAGCAGTAGTTTCCTGCCATGGCCAATGTGTACTTGATGGTCTCTGTCATGGCCAGGGGTCCAAGGCTGCAGCTCGGGACTCTGATCAGGACACTCAGTTGCCACTGCCAAAGATAATGACATGTCACCACTCAGATCAAGCACATCACTAGGGAAAGAATGACAGGGTGAGGGCAATATACTTCATGACACCCATTTCTTCTCTACCAGGGTTAAAAGCAAGTTCTTAGACACCAAAGAGATATTCTGATCTGAGAGGCAGGTACCCTGGGTGTGGTCAAACCACTTTCGTGATTTTATCATCAGACTCTGGACAGCCCCCTTCCTCCTCTGATTCAGTTCCCCCATTGCATGAAGGATAGATCTGGTGACCACTCAGGGCATTGTAAGGTTTGAAGTGACACTATAGTTGACCCAAAGTTCTTGGTTTCCAAGCAGTATTTGAAGAGTTAACCAAGTTCTTTCACGATATACAGGGTTTTGGGTTACTTTTCTAACTCCGTTCCCTTGGAGACCTGAGAAAGATGGTAAGAAATCAATTGGATAAACAAGTAGCACTGATTATAACACATGTGACCTGTCACTGGTAATGTCCTGTAAACAGGGAGCAACTATATAATATTAGTATTAGTATTTATTAGTATTAGTATTGTTTTTGAGACAACAAAGGCTAACTGTATGCTTAGGCAAGTCTTGTATTTACCCTCTCCCCCCATGACTGTCCTAAATAGTTTTCAGCCTGGTGGCTCCTCTGAGGGTAATAACTCTTATCACTGGACATGCCCTTTGCAGGCATCTACCATGTGACATATGTAGCATCACTAGAAGAGATACTGGCTCTGGTGGAGTATAAGGCCACTGAGTTGGGGGCAGTTTCTATACTTGTTCAGGCTACTTGTTTGTTTGTTTGTTTGGTTGGTTTGGTTTGTTTGAGACAAGGTTTCTCTGTGTAGTCCTGGCTGTCCTGGAACTCACCCTGTAGACCAGACTGGCCTTGATCTCATAGATCCTCCTGTTTCTGCCTCCCAAGTGCTAGGATTACTGGAGTGCACCACAACCTCCTGGCTAGGCTGCTCTTATTCCTTTTGTTCTGAACGGTCACTCCAGGAGTGGGTTTGTGGGTTGTATGGACTTCCCAGGGTCGGATGCCACCTGCTATTGCTCTGAAGTCAGGCTGTGCTTCCTGTCCTATATACTCCAAGGCAGTCTATAGCCAAGTGTGGCAAGCAAGCATGTAGCCAGAGTATTTAGTTGGATTGGGAGACTCCTGGACGTTCACAAGGTTTGCTGGAATCTGCTCCAAATCTATGCCCCGAGAGAAACAAAAAGGGGCATCTATGTCCCAGGAGCTGGGAGAACCACCCTGTGGAAAGCAAGTGGAGGTCCAGAAAAAGAAGCAGGGAGAAGGAGTTAATTGATGTGAGGCTATTTTCATTTTCTCAGCAATTAGATTGTGAAGAATCAATCAGACTTACAAGTAGCACAGAGGAGGTGGGGAGATGGAGGTGAGGCTTAGGTGAGCCCACAAGAGGAAGGATTCAGTTGGGAGATCAGGACAGGTATCAGGAGTGGAAGCAAGCACCACAGTGCAGGGGACTTAGAATCACTAAATTCCACAGGTAAAGTTGATATAGGAGTATATCCACAACATGGGACCAGAACAAGTTCCAATTCAGTTAGTACCATAGCAGGCATAGCAGCTCTAAGGGGTAATTGATTATTCATCAGTCATGCAAGAAGGAGCTGTAATTGCCATAGTTAGATATCTAAGAAGAGCCTAGAGGGAGACATGCTGTTATCTACACTCAACTGCACCAGATAAGGACTATCTAGTCTTCCACTGAGCCCAAGTTTTCTGTGTGGGTGCCCAGCCCCCACATTCTCTCCCAAATGCATGGCAGCCACCTTTGGTTCCATTTGCCTCACTGTTGGTGTGAATTCAGACTTTAAGTATCACTACAAAGAGAACTCCACATTTGTGAGCTCTCAGTGAGTCACCACTTCAGATCCTAAGTTTCAAGTAATAACAATGCAGAAAGCAGATGCAGACTTCCCTGCTGACAGGAGAGAAGAGCTGCTACCAGCCTGCACATAGGCTGGGCAGCTCCCTGCCTTGATATAGAATGCTCAAGCTGGTATTCAAAGCAACAGCTCAGAGAACCGGGTGCTAAATCCCACACCTAGGCTTATCTCCAAAGAGGATAGTCATGAATTCCTAGTAGCCTTCCACCTGGTCCTGGATGTGGGAGGCAGTTTCAAGGAGTTGATTAGCAGAGTTCGAAGAACAAATGTAGCCTCCTGGAGTGCCCAGAGCTCCAGCCTCAGAGCAGGGAGGACCAGTTTCACTAAGTGGACAGTGCTTCAGGTCTCACTGTGTCACTTTCAAGCCAAGCCCATAGTCCTTTCCCTGTCTAGGCATATGCTTCTGTAGCCAACTTTACATCTCAGCTTGTCTATGGTGGGCCTCACACACAGGTTTGCCCACCATCACGAACGTCAGTCCCACTCCAAAAGCTCTGAGCCTATGGCTCAGACAGAGTACTTCTGTGACTGGCTGTGGTGGGCCCTCCTGTGTGTAAGCTGGGTATTCATACATATGGATCAGTAAAACATCTAAAAATCACCAGTACCATCTCTGAAACATCACCATGGCAACCACACTGATTTCCCTCACTATGGCAGAGGGCCTGCCCGTGAAGCAGACTATAAGGGAGTGCAGGCTACGACTACTTAAAGCATGAATGACAAAGGCAATTTCTACTTCTCCCAAAGAACGCAGCACCAGAGAGAGCCATAGCCTCTATTTCAAAGGGTTTATATGCAAACTGGGGTGTGGGAGGAAACACCCAGGAAATATCTGAATACTCCCCAAATTGAATCACCCCAAAACATAAATCCAAATACAGTTACTAGCCTGGAGTCAACACCTATTCTGTGTTTATTAATTGAAAGAGCAGAGGAATGAACTCAGGCGATGTCATAAATCATTGCACTGAACACTGACACTTTGCCTACTTGCTATGTCACCCAAGAATTGAGGAGATTTTGTAAGAAATTACAGTGAAGGCATTCTATGCTACAGAATGCTTCCTGCCCCCAGCGAGCTGGAAAACAATGCAGTTCAATGCGAGGTCCTTTATAATGGAAGAGCATAAAATCCAATGAGTAATAATAGCATTTTAAGACGGGCAATGGTATCCAAGGTGGTCTTATTAAACCCCCGCTCAGTTTCTAAGACTTGTACTCTGTGCCTCCAGTGTCTGCCAAAGGTACCAGTTATTCGATGGTTGCTTCCTGTAGCCTGGGTGAAGTGTCCTGTGCTTCTATTTTAAATTTCAAATTCATTTAAAGATCACTTGGGTATTCATATGTGCTTGGTACCATAAGGTAAAAGAGAAAAAAAAAAACAAAATAAAATAACACAAACCACTTAAAGCAAAGTTGCCAATACTGAGGTAGTAAGGGACAGCTGAGCAGGGTGCTGGGCTATGACACAGGCCTGTAACCCTAGCACTTAGTGGGCTGAGGAGGGAAGATGGCAGGCTTGAAGCTAGCCTGGATCATACTGAGACACTGTCTCAAACAGAAAACAGCTGGGCGTGGCGGTGCATACCTTTGATCCCAGAACTCCAGTGGCAGAGACAGGCCCATCTGTGAGTCTAAGTCCAGCCAGGGCTATCTTGTGAGGTCCTATCTTAAAATACAAACCAAACTAAACAACAAAAAAGAAAGACACAATCTAATCCTTGCTGAGAGCATTGTGGTTGAAAGGGGCTTCACAGGCCCAGATCCTGACCAGATTACACACTGTGGAGGGGGATGCTCTGAAATTGAGTAGACCAGAGATAGAAAGCTGAGTCTTGGCTGAATTTTCTCTCCTCACTCCCCGACTCTCTCCTGGACAGATTCTATATGTTGTATTAGCAACTGACATTTAAAAACAAGATTTTTAATTAAAATCCAAATATCTGGTCTCTTTAAAAAAATTCAAAATATCTTACAACAACATCTCCCCTTTCCAATTGTCCAGAATTGAGAGATAGGTGCTCCACGAGGGAAGTCTCAGTTCCATGGAGACGACAGTACCTTTCCAACTAGGTTTGCTTGCCACGGAATCCGAGCAGACGCTGTGTTTGCAATCTGGGATGATTCTAGGCCAGCCTGTCATTTCCTAAGAAAACTTGGGGCAGGATGAGGCTTGCCAGAAACCAAGATGTTCAGTGTGGACCCTACCTGAGAGACTCCCTGTGATCTCCCTCCCCCAGGAGCCTGGCTGAAGCAGATCCAGCTTTTGTGGCTTCTCACCTGCTGCTGATGTGGCCCCTGAGAAGCCGACCAGGAGGAGGCAACCCATGGCCAGCACAATCTTGAGGGAGACATCGTGCCTCCCAGAAGTTCTCATTCCAACAGCTTGCTCCCTGAAATGCAAGCAGAGGGTCAGAAGCACAGTCCCACAGTAAGCACCAACACGAGACAGAGATTCACCCACACTGTAGCAGGGGACAGGGACATGGCAAGAGAGGCACACCCCATAGGCCCAGAGCAGAGACCTTGTGAATAGTTCCTCACCTACCATGACTCAGGGCCAGGCAGATCTGGACATGCAAACTTGGTCACCATTCTGCCCCCGTCCTGTAACTCTCAGCTGAGTGGCCCTCAAGCTCCCTCTCTTTGAAATGGAGCCTTTCTACTTAAGCCAAGAAAAAGGGAAGAAACCAAGCGTAAGCTGGGAATCCAATGCCACAGGCTTGCTGGTGTGCTCTCTGCTGATTCTCGGACTTCTCTGGACCTTGCTGCCTAATCGGGGATACAGTAGATCTAATCTGCTGATCTTTGAACTTGACGTTGTTAGTGTGTGCTGCTCATATGTCTCCTCTTTGCCAGTGACAGAACCCCTAATTTTTATATGGGTGCCTAGCCACCTTGAATAGGCAGTGCAGTCTTCAGTTTCCTTGTGGCCTTCGGATTAAGTTCAACCAATAAAGCAGACTTCCAGCAAATGTCCTTAAAGGAAAGGAGAAAGGACTCCCTCCCTCCCTCCCTCCCTCCCTCCCTCCCTCCCTCCCTCCCTCCCTCCCTTCCTTCCTTCCTTCCTTCCTTCCTTCCTTCTGTCTTTCTGCTGGCTGGGGTGCAGATAAGATAGCTGGATGGACCTCCAGTAACTCTTGAGAGTCAAATAATAGGAACAAGCACTGAGAACAACAAAGCAAATGATAAGAAATCTAGGGCAGAAGTAACTCTGGGTGGCTGACTCATTCTTAGGTTGAGACAATTTAATTTCTATTTTATTAAACTTGTGTTTCCAAAAGATCTATTCTGTGTTATTCATTTTACCTTTTACTCATGTAGAAGGTGACTACAGGATTCTACATCAGGATGGGAATTTTAACAACACAGATTTTTTGTTGTTTTGTTTTGCTTTGTTTTTGTGCCCAGAGACTCTGACTGAATTATGGTAAGGGTAGCTCTAGTTTCTGAGCCATCTCCCCAGGTCCTTCCCAACAGACCTGTGTTTGTGCCTAGAACAAGCAGATATTATCCTTCAGAAGTGGCTCACAGAGGCTCCACCTCTCACGTCTGTTGAGTTGCTAATCTGATGCCCCTGACTCTGGGCTCAGTGAAGCTCTTTGTGCCAGCTCAGCCAACCAAGGCAGGAAGAAGGGACCTTCTGCACAGGTGGGCTGGGGAGGAAGAAACAACTCAGAATCAAAGCCTGTGTGTCCTCTTCCAGCGCTCTGCCCGACCCAGACTGGCTCTGCCAGAACAACAGAGGCACTTGTCTGTCATATCTGGGAGGCCACCTTTCCCATGACTCCAAGGGAGGAGTGCTCCATGACTTGAAGAGGAATGGTATAGTGAGTGGTGCAGCCAGTCCTTGGGGGGTGGGGGGGGGAGGAGACATAGCACCCTTCTCAGATCTCAGCTGGCTTAGAAAAAAAAAAAAAAACAAAGGCAGCCTGCCACCAGCTGCCAACAGGCCTTATAACCTCACTGGGCCACATTATCCAGGAAAGTCAGACCTGGACAACTGGTACCCTCACTTTACGATGGAATCTGGAGGGGCAGTATGAGGACCTCACAGTTCTCATGTACAGAGTCACGTGTAAGAGATTATTTCCCTTGTGAACGGATGTAAGAACACTTCCACAGAAGGGAGCAATGTCCAGTACCCTTCCCTGACATTACACCTTTGCCTGTGTTCTCTCCAGTGTCTAAGCCACAGGAGGTAGAGAGGTCCCTATGCCCAGAACTGTCCCGTTGCAGAGCACACAGATGTCAAGCTTTCCATCACAGGGTGGCTCCCAGGCCTGGAGAGTCCTGCTGCTGTGGATCCTACAGACGCCCAAGATTCTTTTGGGAACTGTCTACCCAGAAGGACAGCAGGTTCAGCTGGCCACTGAAGCTTCTGGAAGTAGGGTTGGAATTAAGCTTCTTTGTTGGTGAGACAGGCTGGAAACAGGTTTCAGCTGTGGAAGACCTCAGATGAGCACACAGGGAATGATGCTGGGGACTTCTTGGGGGTAGTCAGCTGAGTCTGCACTGATCAGGCTACAGTGTTGCTAAGATATTGATCATGATGGTGTCAGCTGGCCTGTCCCTGAAGGGTGTGGGAACCCTGCCAGCACGTGAGAAGAATTGGACGGCTTCCTCAGCAGACCTGCACTTCAGGCCATTGCATATCTTCACAGTAACAAACCAAGTTTCCAGATGCCCAATCTAGCTGCTGTGCCAGCCTTGGGATACAGGAATCAACAGAGCAAAAGAGTGTCCACGGCTGCCAGGTACTGGGGCTTTGCTTATCCTTCCATGACTGTCCTGGAGTTCCAGGGTTGTCACCTGTAGAGCAAGCAGAGTGTTAAAAAGGATCCAGTGGTGTCCCAGAGTGTACTCATGAACACACTTGTGTCCTGTGGCCTCCCAGCTCCCAGGTATGGGAATTACTGATGCCTCAAAGGCGGCAGAAGGTGGGACTTTCATAGAGATTCCATCAGGAAATAAGGACAAGCAGGGAGAAGGATACCCTGACTCCAAGGCCCCCAGAGTGAGCCTCAATGGGGGACACAGCAGGGGCTATATCTCCTTCCTTGTTACTCAGCCAACCCCTAGGCAAGCCTGAGTTAGCAGATGAGCAATACTACAAGGTGGTCAGGAATGCAGGCACCAGAGCCTTCCTAAGGTCCCAGCCACAGGGCTCTCTCATTCTTTGAGGTCAGAAAATTGAAATGAGATAGAATCAAGATGCAGGGCCATCATGAGCATCAGAATAGCTGCCCCCATGAAAACCATGAAACCATACAGATCTTAGTTTGACCTGAGGATAGCATGGGAACACTGGGAACCGCTCATACCGGGAATACTCAGCGTCCAGTAAAAAGAACCTGAAGGACTTGAATCTAAAACTCTGGGCCTGAGTTCCTGTTGTAGCTCCCATCAGCTATGTGGTTCCCAGCAGGTCCCTCAGCCTGCCAGGGCTTTGGTTTTCTCATAAAACCGGGAGCAACAATACTTCTCACGATCTGGACTTAAGTTGTGAGTGGCAATCGCATCATAGAGTTCATGGCCAGTTCATGAGGCCAGTGAGATGGCTAAGCAGGTAAAAGTCTTTGCCACACAAGCCTGTAGCAATAAGGAAGATAGATAATCTCTTGGAAGCTTGCAGGTCAGCTAGCCTGGAAGACAGACAGCTCTGTAGCAGAAACAAAAGAGACTCTGCCTCAAGAAAGTGGAAGGAGAGAACTGACTTCTAAATGTCTTTTGAGAAGCATGAGACAGTCGGTAAGATTCATTATCTTAGACTTCCCTTCTCTCTCCTGCCTGCCAGCTGTACACCAAGCAGGTTTTTGTTGTTGTTGTTGTTTTTGTTTTGTTATTTTACCATCCACATATTCTCACCACAATGTGCTGTTTCAGCACAAGGCCCAAAGCCATAGAGCCAACTGATCATGAACCAGGACCTTCAAAACTGTGAGCTCAAACAAATATCTTTGCTTTGTCACTTGATTTATCGCAGGTGCTTGTTGCCATAACCGAAAGCTGACAGGTATACCAGCATGTAAATGGGTATCTTTAAAAATGGTTACAATCTTTCTGCAGCTGAGTCTTCTCACCTATGACAATCAGAATAGACATGAATGTGGCTCCTGCTAGGCATGACCAATGACTGCCTGGTTCCTTCCCACAGTCACCACTGTGCTCTCTCACAACCACCCCCCTGTGCAGTATCCAGTTATAGATGCAAATTTAGTATCCGAGGCACAAAACTTAGTGTTGTTTAGTATCACACAGTTAAGAGGTGGTAAGCTTTAAAGTCCACTCCAGAGCTGTGGTTCCAGTTCCTTAAGATGAGTTGTGTACACTTTAACCCTAGGATCTCAGAACACAAGAGCTGGTGGGAACCCAAGACATCATCTAGTAAGTATGCTTCACACCGCAGCATGTCCGTAGGTTCCCAAGAGTGCTCATTAAAAGGCACATTCTCACCCACAGGACCGAGACAAAGCTGGAAGGCAGCTCCACCAGGATTTTAACCCCGAGTCTGACTCTAGCATCCCACTCTGTAAAACTGGCACTCCAACTTTATCTCTACCGTATTCCACTGATGACCTAAATGGGACCCTGAAGTAAAGCTGGACAAGATTTTGAGATGTGGACAAATGTCTCTACCAACACTCTACAGGTTGAAAATACTATGGCCTCAACCCTCTTTCATGAGAAAAAGCTTTTCTTTCAGTGAACCCCACACCTCCACCATGGTTCCAAGAGTCAAATCACCTGTATGGTATTGGCTAAGACTTTTTCTGGATACCCACAGGATGTCCCAGTGGCCACCAACAATCATGGCAAAACTGAAATGCAGAAGCCAGGAGATCTTATTCACTGGGCAGAAAGCCCTTCAGACAAATGGCAAAGCAGACACCTTCTCCAACGTGTTCCAAGGGAGCCACCCCTTCTTAAATCAGGCAACATCTGTTACCTTGGTTTTACCTGATTTGTACCCAGGCCTAGCTTTCTCCTGACAGGGACATGTATCTCTCTGGCCACCTGATCTGGAAGCAGCATTCTAGGGGAGATGGAGGCAGGAGAGTAGACAGATTGATTCCTGCTCTGAATAATGGGTAAACAGGAAGTGGAGTCCCTAGTGAACCCCCTTAGTCCTGAGCCCCTTTGCCCTTTTTAGGTAGCCCCATTAGCATAATCTACTTTAATGATATATGCAAGACTGTGCAAGGGATCCCAGGGTCTCAGATCTAGCCTGTCCCTCAGATAGGTGCACTTAGAGGACTATCTGCCTCTGATGCTGAGCGTTTCCCAGGCTACTCCATGAAAATGGCTTCTTGGGCATGTGCCACTCCATCACAATGCACCTGCCTGAGACCTGCCCCGTTGCTGCAGAGACTAGAG